GCAACCTTCATATCATTTTCCAGAGTGGAAAATTATTCTTAAGTAGGAACGGATTTAATAGAAATTTTCTGCATGAAATTGTTTTTTGTAGAAAAAACATGTTAATTAAAGATAGTAAGTAGAAAGATTTCCCTTTTTGATACAGGGAAAAAAGATAATTTTTTGCTTTTCCAGTTGAAAAATTTTTAAAGAAAAATAAAAACAAAACCAGAAAAGACATACAAACAAACAAACAAAAAACCAAACCTCAAAAAAAAAAAAAACCAAAAAAACCCCCCAAAACCAAAAAACCAAAATCCCTCACCAATATTCCAGCAATAAAAAATGCAAGTAAACTGAAGAAAGAGATTGATTGGCTGGGGTGAACAACAGTATGTCAGAGGAAGTCCTGTATTAGAGAAGGATTGGGAAATAAACTTTCAGTTGGTTAATTCAGGTAGTGAAGAAAGCGATATCTGGAACAGGGTGACCTTAAAAAGTTGTAAATGAGGCACATTCAAAATAACTAAAAAACTATTATCTCCCTACATGATAATACAACTTTTAATAATTAATAAGCCAAAGCCTCATTATTTGGGTAAAAAGGCTTGGTGTTCTGTCTTTTTTGACATTAAGTACTACTTTTAAATGTCAGTTGAATGTACATAGGCTGGGATGAAATGTGCCTAATTACCTATCTAAGTGGCCTTTAGATGTGCAATCACACTTTTGGCTCAAACATGGACTGTTGTCAGAAATTGAATACTTTTTTCATTTTTTTTTTAACGTTTGCTTCAGTCCAGTGTGTTGTAATTTCAAACAGGCTTATAAAAAAAGCAGAGTAAGATGTTACCCAATAGCTTACACCACAAAAAATCCACCATGCCTGAATAGTTTGTTTTCTGTTAGATCTTTGTCCTTGCTCTTACTGAAAGCCTGTTTGTAACTTCCTGCCTCTGAGAGAGAAGTGTACTCAAGCTTCAGCTGGCTGGTGGTGCCTTTTCCTGCTCCTGCCCAAGCTGCAATGTGGAGCTGCATCTGACACACCTTTCCCAGGTGTCCAAGGAGATGGAAAACAGAATCATTTCAGTTTTGGCAAGACATAGCATCATAGTTTATTTTCAGTTACAGATCAAGTCTTAGTTTTAAATTTGATTTTCTTGGTTTTTCTTTGTATATATTACAAACTTTTTAATCTCAGTTTTCTGTCTATATTTATCCTGTATTCAAGGCCAAAAAAGTATGTGTGGATTTTTTTTAATAGAAAGTATGGCTTTAAATAGTTACTTTCCTTCTTGAAAAATCTGATTTTAGACTTAGGGACAGCACTGTGAGACAGCACTAAAAAAATTTCCTTTAGACCCCTGGGAATATTTGGAATTCAGCAAAAAGCAGCTAGTTGCTGTTTGGGGCATGCTTAATATTAGGTTAAATTACTCATTCCTGGATTAAAAAAAACTAACTGGAATTTGTGTTGATGTAGCCCTTCTTCCTGCTACATATGAAATTATGCGGGATTTCAGGTTTATTCTTAGTGCCTGGATTAGTCTAGTAGTATGTGTTTATTTTTTGTAAATTTATCTTACAGAAGTTCAGGATTTGAGGTATTTTCCTAAGTACAAACTGAAAAAAGAATTATTAAAGTTGAGGGACTTGGTAAGTGACAATTTTATTTTAATCTGTACAATATTTTGTAGGAACTAGTTTTAGTAATCTGCTTAAACCATGAGAAGCAATCTAAAATAAGCATATTTTTATTTTAATAAATAGGAAGTCCTTTTAAAAGTCTTGAATTGTAATTTATTCTCTTCAGAAATGATCTTGTCATAACATTACAGAGACAGCCTACACTACTGTTAAGCTTTATAAAGATTCTTTCTCTCTTGAATGTTTATGATCATCTTGTGTAGATTAGCACACAGATTGCACTGGATTTTTATTCTCAGAATCACAAATCACAACCACTAAAATGTAATTACTTTATCCTGAAAAGATTCTTGCTGGCTACTTGATGAATCCACTTATGAATACCAGTACATCTTCTCCTAACCCATTAGAGCTGCACAAAGTGTACAAAACATGTGTTTCTTTGTCATTGTGCAGGACAAGAGTTGGTTACAGTTGGTTGCAAAGTGGAGAGATTGCCGTGGTTCATTAAGGCCTGGGCCTGCAAGCACCTTTGTTCATGTTTAACTTTGGTGAATTATATGGGCAAGCACATGGATATGCGTGTGCACAGTTAGCACTTCTAGTTATGTAAAACTCCTCAGCCCATAGCTGTGCATGTGAGACAGAATCAACAACAGAGCAGCTTTTAATCACTTTGTCACTTGGGCATCTGAGAACTCTGTTTCAGTTTGTGCAAGTTCCTAAATTATTTGTTTGGGGGTTTTTTTGTAAAATTAAAATCCTCTGAGCATGGATTTCTGCATAACTATATAAAAAGATGTTCATACTCTAAGGGAAAGCCTTAAAAGGAGCCTTTCATAGGAAAATAAAATAATTTTGTCCTTCAGTTAATTTCCTCTAATGTGGCCAACTGTTTCTTGGCAAGAAGAGAATTCCTGATCAACTTTTTAATGCAAAGAATGTGCTAGAAAAGTCATTGGGGTATGTAAATCAGAGACCTCTTAGATGAGTCTCTTTAGATTAATCCAAGTGATGTAGTTTCTAAGGAGCAAAAAAGTCTCTAAAGTCAGAACTTAATATTGTTGGTCCGAACACAGCTGGATTTGTAACTGGAAGGAAACCGGGAGCCACAGAGTGGATCTACCACAGCTCTTTCCTGGAGAGAAACAATAATCTCCTCTGACAGAGAAGCTGGATATGCTATCCAGGAAGTTGCCACCAGACAGCACTCTTGTCTGCTCAGGCTTGTCCAAAGAAGAGCATTTCTGGCATCCTTCACTGATCCCCCCACTAGACCCAGCCCTTTATGATCATCTCTCTCATGCTGCTTTGTCACACACCCTCAGCCACACAGATACAGCTCTCAGCTGAATCTACAAAAATTACCTTTGCTGGGTGGCAACACGGTGTTCTTGTAGTTTTGAGCATGTGTTACTGAAAACACACCCAAAACTATGTCTGAGTGTCCCTGGGACCTTTGATCCAAACACTGCGTAATGGGGATATACTGATCTACCCCACAGTGCTAGGTCAAGGTGGGGCAGATATAAGTCACTTTATTTCACCAGCCAGTGTGCTCCCTGCGTCTTGACTGGGAGCCAGGAGGGGCCTAGGTTTAAATGCCTTTAGCAGTGTAGCTTCTGTGTGTTACTGTTCTCAGGATTAAGTTTTAGAAAGTCAGATAAGCCAAAGCATCCCAGTCCTGTCATTGTAATGATCCATAAGTGTACTGGTGTTACCAGGGATGAATTGTTATCACAGATAGGAGATAAGCAACAAGACAAGAGGCAATGGGCAGAAAACGATGCACAGGAAGTTCTAGCTAAATATGGGGAAGAAGTTCTTTACTGTGCAGGTGACCACAGCATGGTCAGAGATTGCTCAGAGAGATTCAGAGTCTTCTTCACTGGAGATATTCAAGAACCACCTGAGTAATTCTTGAGTCACTCATAGACTTGTTAGAGAGTGCTAGTTTGATTAAAAAAATGCCTAGATATTGTCACAGGTCAGAGTGATGTTCCTTAAAAGTGGTTGTCGTGCATTTCTGCACAAGAAACCTAACCTGTAGCATAACTTCTTGTTTCTATCTTCTGATCGTGTATTAACTGTGCAAGAGATAAAGTTCATCTTTAACAAGGATGAAGTCAACATGAGGAGAATCATTAGCATTGTCATCAGCAGACCTTCAGCAACAAAGACCTTTTCTCTTAATATGTTTTTGCCTGTCAGAAGATAATTGGCTTGCGTAACGTAAGCTGGACTCCTTTCTTGAAACACAGCCCATCCTTGTGAAGCATACTTTCTTGGATGCATTTCTGCTTGGATCTTGGAGAACTGAGGAAAGCTTGTATTCTTCCCTTGTGTGTGGCTGCAGGAAGTAGGGCTATTCATGAAGCAAAAAAAAGAAGCTCTGCTGCTGGAGCACTGGCAGACTTTGCACTAAGGGAAAAGTAAAAGCTGAGAGAAAGTTGAAATGGGCTGCTACACAATGTGTTTTTCTACATATTTTCCTATGAAATACTTTTTAATGATGAGAAGCATAGCACTTTTCTCTGCAATGTTTATGTTATGTTACCGGAACAAAACTAAAGTGATTGAAACATGAGTGTTTAGAAGGAAACAATAGGCTGTGAACAATACTGGCTGGAAATACTACTACATGTTTGGAGTAGGGTTGTCTGCCATTGGAAGTAATAAAAATAGAGCTGAAAATTATACATCGGGGTTTGGTTTATTCTGGAGGCTAATTTTTAAGAAACTCAGGTTTATTTATTGGTTATGTCACAGGAATGTTTGGCTTGTTCTGAGTCCAGTCTTCAGCATTTTTCATTTCAAGCCATATAAAGGCGAAGATCATCTGTGGTACCTCTACCCCAGTTCAACAGAATGGGCTCTAAACCTTCTCTGTAAATAGCCTTCTGTGTTGCTTCTAGCCACAGCAATACTTTCAAAATTACATGTATTCTTCTAAAATTTACTCAGGTCTCAAAACATTGTAAAACATCCTTCAATATGCTTCAAAAACCAGTTTGTTTTTCACAAGGGCAATGGAAGGGTATCACAGTGGGATTTCCCCATGCATTTCCTTCAGAATGTGTGACTAGTTTCCCTGACACAGGCATTTTAAATGCAGGAAGTGCCATTCTAGTTGGGTTTTGCGTCATGAAGGCATGAAGAGCGGACAGGATTTATCTGAATGCCAGCGAGATTCCCTGCTTCCCTCCCTGCCTCTTAGCTGGGCAAATAGCTAGCCAGCTAGCAGCCCTCCAATCACCTGGGCTGCCAAGCCTCCACCCCTCAACACTGAGGGCTCCCACACCATCTGCAGCTGGCTTTTAAAGCAAGTCTTTTAATAAAATCACTTTAAGTCATTACTCTTCTATTTATGACAGCAGGAGTTCGGGACTGAGTAAGAGGAGCAGAAATTTGCCCAGCAGAAGTTGCTCTGAATCAGGTTAGTAATGAAGTTTACTGCTGAAAGAAGTAACCTGAAAGCAGCCTAGGTTATCTTGGGGAACCTTGCCTTTAGCATATGTGCTGTTTGAGTAGTAAGAGCTGTGGTATGCAGTTTGTTTACATTATGGCATTATTCTGTCTTTGGTAAAGATTCTGTGTTAATATATATAAGATGCAGTTATATTTTCCTTCCCAGTCTGCCTAGAAGGTGTTTCTTCTTTTTGAATGATACAGCTTGCTTTGCTTTTCCCTTTTATGCATCTTATACTTCTGTTACAGGTACTGCTTTCCAATTTTATGGTTTATTATTGAAATACTCTAAATACTTCAAGTCGTTAGGAGTTTTGTGAAAGTCTTGGGCACCACATGAATTTTTAGGACACTTGCAGGAAAATAATGTATTACCTGTGCATGTGTGTACACACATGTAAATCATAGATTATACCTAGTTTTGCTTCATCTCTGTATTCTTTTACTTGCTTTATTTCACAAGATCTTACTTTCATATATTATTGCACAAGATCTAATAAATGTAATACTGCAATTTTGAGTAATGCTACATGTACTTAGTAGGAAAAAAATGCATAAACTTTAACAGGGTTTTTAGGAAAAAAATGAGGCTGAAAAAATATGCTAAATGAATCTGTATTAACCAGTATATATTTATATTTTCCCATTTTCTATATGTTACAAACTTATTGGGAGTATTTCATCCTTAATAGGTATGCTGTTTAGCATGTTTAACTACTGCATCTAAGATTAATAGTACATAATATAATACTAGCTCAACAGAATAGTTTTGAGTAAAATATCTTTATTTTATTTTGGCTTCAAAAATCATTAAACATAAATCTCAACAGTACTAAAACTTTCAGAGGTTTCATACTGCTTTGTAACATTTGCTTTCTATGTGAGATTTTTATGGTTTTTTATTAGAATTTTTAATGGAAAATTTTGTGGGAATAGTGAAATGGCAACTGCAGCAAAACTTTGGATTTTCCCATGTGTAGCTTGGGTTTAATGTGTACTAACTTAAACCATGTATGAGACAATCAAATTAAAATTTTATTTTAATGGAAATAAAATTATTGGCACATGATGTTTGTTGCCTTTTTTTGCTCCAATATCCACATATTTTTTGAATTTTTTGTGGGATAGGAGGTTAGATTAGATTACTTTAACACAAAAAATGCTTTGCAGAAGTGGTAGATTTTATATGACTTTGAAACAGTCAAAGCAGGTTTAAATATTAATATAATCTTTGCAGATAGAGACTTTGTCGCTTGCATTGTGTTTTTAGTTACAAATTTTTTGATACCAAACATTTCCTGACAGAAGAGGGCTAGCAACAGATGACGATTAAATGTTCCTGATTGTCCACCTGAACCAAGGGCTGGTATGAATTGTAAGGCTAAACTCATCTTCTTGGACTGGCGTTCAGAGGTGTAGGGGACAAGCAGTAAATTATCTGGTTTACAGTTGGCCAGGAGAGGCTGATATTAAGATGATTTTATCAGCAGATGTTGTAGAGAAGAAAATTAACCAAGACAATAAAGAGCAAAAGGGTTGGAGAAACACCTGCTTATTCAGGTACTCTGACAAATACTATGAAAGTCCACCAGACATAGGAAAGTTTTGTTTTGTTTTATCCTCCCCCTGTTAGATAAATCTGTCAAGTTCCTTTCCTGTCTAAATTATGTCCTACTCTCCTCCTTGCTGTATCTTTGTTGAAGGTGGTTGAAGGGGTAAAACTAAACTGTAGTGTGGATAGCTTAGCAGTTCTCTCTAGGAATTCGTTCGAGGAAGGAGGAGGTTCCCATAAGGGTTTGTCATTGGTCCTCAAGTCTAAGGCAGTTGAACTGAGCCTTGCCTTTTTTGAAAAGTGTTTATAGCGTAACCTGTAGCTAAATTAAAACGTGGTCCAAAGAGCATTCAGAAGTGCGGTGACCCAGCAGATGCGGAGCCAAAGAACTGCCACCTCGGCTGTGTGCAGCAGAAGGAGCGTGCCAACCGCGGTAACAAACAGACTTCACAGCTGTCAGCTTGCGGCAAAGTGAAACTTGCTTTGCTTGTGACGCAGTGCTCTCCGTAAAGCAGACTTCAAAGAGGAGCCTAGCACAGTTTGGATTGCATGAGACACTCATCAGGTTGTCTCCACACCTTAATTAGAAATAACTGCATGCTGTTGGTGAGTTCAAGGGCTTTTTCCTTTGTGGTTTCTTACTACTCATTGCCTATTTTTAAACTCTGTATAAGATGAGGATTCAATGTTTTCTCTGTTTAAACTGCATGAACAATACAGCCCACCCTGACTCGTGGTCCTTGCAGGCTACATGCCTTACACTGACTGCAGTTCAAAGGCAGGCAGGTATCCAACTCTGCTCCAAGACAGGTGCACCAGAGATGCCTCAAAAGCACTCAGTTCCTTCTTGAATGATTACCCAGTGTAATTATCAAAAAAAACCCTTTCCCAAGCTGTCAAATGTGCATTCCCAGGAAGGCTCAGAGCAGATCCAGTGCTCCTCAGCTGTGCAGCACATTCAGCAGGGGCCCAGGCCAGTGCTGGCAGAGCTCACAACAGCAGAGGCCAAGATGAAGCAGAGCCCATAGTTGTGTGCTCGGATGAGGCACAGTGAGGCTGCAGCAGGGAAAGGAGGAAAAATAAAGGAGCAGTCAGGAAAATACTGAAACCTACTAGTCAAAAAGCAGAGACAATTTTTAATATGCTCATTTGCCCTACCTCATGTTTCTCTCTGCCATAAAGATCAGCAGAAAAGAAAACTGGTATTTGTCCAGACTCAGGAATAAGATCTGTAGTTCTGCAGGAATAAGACCCCTTAGAAGAGTGTGTGGTGGCAGTCAGTATAAGCTTGTCTAGGACAATGCTGCCACCAAAAGGCGCACCCAGCTGTTACCTTCTTTGCTCCTGTAGGTTTGTATTTTAGCATGAGATGTGCTCTGCCTCAGTGTACTGATAAACTGCTTGTGAGTCAGCACACGTCAGCAGTGAGACATTGCTCAGGCTGTTCTCTTGCAGGGGTAATGCATTAAAGGATTTGCTTTACAAGAGACACCTCAGAAAAACATTACACTTCTCAGTTATTTCTGAAGACACTTGTCACCTCATAGCTATGTCATTTGGTCTGGTGTTAAGCCAAACAGCTTTGTAAGCTCATCAGGTCTTCCTGCTGCACTGTCTTATCAAGTATGAAGTCTTGGAATGTCGCAGCCAAATCTGAACGAGGGCAATGCCTGAGGTACAGTGCTGCACTTGGCACACAGCAACAGAAGTTGTGGAGCAGGGTTCAGGCATTTTTTGCTATGAGTTTAGGCATACTAAGTGTAGGAAACTGTGGAAGATGTGCCGGATTCCAGTGGTTGTTGTAAAAGGACGTGTTTGTCAAGTCCATGTTAGGATGGATATACTTAGAAAGAGAAGTTTGCCATGCACATGAGGTGTTTTTTTCTTTCCTCTACCGACACAAAGTTTGTATACTGAACTTCGTCTTTGGTTGTGCTCCAGTTTCTAAAGGCTAAAGAAGAAAGGCTGGGTTTCTGTCAGAAGTATCTTTTACTGGCTTGTGGCTAGCAAGAACTAGGCTCCTTCCTCTCCCCAAGAAGCAGAAATCAGAAGCAGAAAAACTCCTCCTATTTTGCCATAGAGATTCCTTCTCAGCAGAGAAAACCATAATATCCAGAGATATTAGCATATAATAGCAGAGATAACCATAATATAATATCACTTACTGGCCACTGCAGTAATTTACTTACTGGCCAATGCAGGCTGTACAATTTTCAGGAGTTCTTGTCCCAAATGGCAGAGAAGCAAAACAATCTGAAATGCCATTTGAATAACAAGAGTCTTGCAAATTCCTTAGTGGTCTGAGAACAAGATCTGCTAGAGTATTTTTTCCTGTTAATGAATTATGAAATGAAATATTATCTGGGGGGGAGGGAGAAATAATTCCTTTAAAAATGCTCTTCCTTCAGCATTGAAATTGCTAAGGTGAAGGGCAGTCACAAGAATGTTGCTGCCTGTCACATGGTCTGCAGACTAGTAAGCATATCAATATAACATCCTAAGTGGTTGCTACAGCTTCAGAACTGTCATTAGGAGAAAAAAAAGTGGCCTCAGAATATTTGTCTAAGTACAGCCCAGGAAAAATAAACCTGGCTGTGTGGGAGTGGAGTGCCTCAGACCCAAAGAAAGGCTGATCTTCCTGAAGAGGTCAGGACACACAGCAGGGAATTTTGCCTGAACAGTTCAATGCTAATTCCCTTCGAAGACGTGGATGTCTACCGACATGAATATCATCTGAGTTCTGTAATTGGTAAGGATTTCGTAGTGGGTGAGTCTGCGTGCCATGAGCAGATTCTTGTCTCTGGTGTGCTGAAAGGACTGCCCAATTGCAGAAGAGCTTTAAAAGCTTTCCTGTCTGCCTCCTCCCACTGTCCTGGGCCACCTATCGTTTTCTGAGGGTATTAAGCATCACTGTCCACAGCTATTCAATTCCATTCACTACTCTTTGTCAAATTCCCTTTACTTGAAAGGGAATAGAGACCTTTTTTCTTAAGGGTGCTCTCTGAAGGAAGAAGTGGCATGTTGAGTGTACTTGGGGAACTATTACAGGAATAGGGTGAAAATGTTCTTTCTCTTTGTCGTTTTTTTTTTCCCCCAAGCAATCTTGTGGGGAAGCAATCAGGATGGGAGAGTTCCTGATACTCTCCGCTTTTGACTCTCTGTTTTAAGGATCAAGCACTGTTAATTGAGCTATCCATCTTCTTACGAAGTCATCCTGTTAGCGGATTGAACTAGTGTGAGTAGAAATGTCCTTTACTGTTCTAGGAAACTAATAGAGACCAGGAAGAAATAAACCAGCAGAATGTCTTTGTCTAAATTAAATAGATTTTCAGTTCCCAGGAGGGTTCCACTTAATAGATTGTGAGCAGAGTATAGATATTTATGGTATGAGTTGCAAAGACAAACATGAGTTTGGGAAGATGGCAGATGGTATTGCTTGATTCTTACAAAACTCTTAGCCATCAACAATACAATTCAAACAAATACATGAAGACAGAACTTGTACATTAATATTGCCTCTTTAAAATATTATTTTCTATGGGATACCCATGTCATCCCTCCCAAGCAAGTGCTTTGGACCCTCAGTGACAATTTGTTTTAGTTGGGAAGCTGATCACTGCTGCTCCTAGCAAGCACCTGTATGGTGGCCTGGCAGGCACCCTGTGGCCAGAGAAACACTGCCCACCTGCTGCCCTCAGGACCAGGTTGGTCACAGAATCTGAGCTTGTGTGCTAGAGCTGATCTCATCCCACACTGTGACAGGCACTGGGAATATTGAAGAACTGCAGCTGGCATGGGATGAAGGGTTAGCCCATCAGGTTTTGTTAGATGATTGTTAGGCAGAAGTGTGAAAGATTTCTTGTAAGGATAGTTAGATCTGGGAAACTTCACTGGTGTATGAGAGAGTAGAAACACTATTTTAATCTGCTTTGAAGCCGTTCTCACTGAAGCAAATTCTAAAGGCAAAAGCTATGTATTTGAAGACAAAAGGATATTGAATTGGTGCTCTCAGAATAATGTATTTTAAACTTTTGCTGTTCACAGTCTTACTTTTAGATTCCAAAACCCCTTATTTATGCTGGTGTTGATCCTCATCTTAAAAGGCTCTATGATATATGAGATAATAGGTTCTTTCTGTTTTAGAAGTGGCTAAGAAGTGGCCATTAGCAGATAATTATTAACGATTTCTTCTTTTTTACAGCAGTGTAATAAACCTAAGGATAATGAATCTCTTTCCCTGGGGACATAAGTGCTTTAGGAATAGTGTATCCCTAATTTGTTTCCTGGGGAAAAGCACATGCCATCTTATCTAATGTCACAAAACAGTGTGAATGTATTACCTAGTAGATGTGATTAAAGTTCTTCATGCAAATGCTTCTTCCCATTGATTTTCACCAGAGTCTACACTACCTTTTGCATTCTGGAACAATTTCCTTTATTTCAGAGCTCCACATCCACCATGTTGCCCTGCGGAACGGCTCTGTCCTTTATTCGGTGTCTGGTGCGGAAGAAGAACATCGGTGGCGAAAGCCTTGAGGACACCAAGCTGTGCCGATGCTTATCAACACTGGACCTCATAGCCCTGGGAGTAGGGAGTACCCTTGGTGCTGGTGTTTATGTCCTCGCTGGAGAAGTAGCCAAATCTGATTCTGGACCTAGCATCATTGTTTCCTTCCTCATTGCTGCCATCGCGTCTGTGATGGCAGGTCTCTGCTATGCCGAGTTTGGCGCTCGTGTTCCCAAGACTGGCTCTGCGTACTTGTACACTTACGTTACAGTAGGTGAACTGTGGGCTTTTATCACTGGCTGGAATCTCGTTTTATCCTATATTATAGGTAAGCTTAAGAACAAACACTGGTCCCAGGGGTTTCTGAGACAGCAGATAAGATACAGACTTAGGGCTCTTTTTCTTTTCTATCTCTACACTTAGCTACTTTTTAGTCCTGTTGAGATGAAATAACCAAAATAATTTGATTAGGTTATTTCCTTCTGTGCGTCACCATTGCAAATGGGTTTTTTGCAGGATATTTTTGTAACAATGTGACGTATGAACCACATACCTTGTATGACAATTGTGTCAGACAATTCTGTGATGATGCGCAAGAATAAACAAGTTTTATTTGCCATTTTTGGTCAGCAAAAATAATTTCAGTAAAACCAATAAACTTTTTTCTAAAAATATATACAGCAAGGACATTTACAGGGACTCCACAGGAGTCCTGTAAATGTCCACTTTTCCTTACAGGAAAGTCATGGTGTTTAAGTACTAACTTGCTACTGTATCATTGTACTAGTTAAGTGCTGTCCTATCAGGTAATCCCATAAAACACAAAATTGACCAGATTTGAGTAAAATCAATACTTATGTGGCAGATAGTCAAACAGCTATTTCAGTACTTGAGCAGAGATAACATTTTTGGATTTAAAAATTATTTATCCTAGAGGAATGTGTTCCAAACTTCCATTACATTGCATATGAACAGTTACATTTCAAAAACTGATGTTCCCCAGTATTGTATTAAAATGTATTTCCTGAGAGGAGAGTTATACAAATAAGATTGGCCAAATTGTATTTGGCCATGAACTCTTTGCCACAGGAGAGTGTTAATTTTAAATACAGACTCTAGTAACATATGTCTTGCTAGTAATTTTTTTTACTTTGCTTGTAGGTGGGCAAACTTTCCTTTATGTTCTTTCTTAAAGTGCTTTCTTATGTTACTTTTTATTGTTTAACATATGTCATAGAAATTAAAAATAGCTAGAAATAAGCTTCTTCCAGGATCAGGCATAAATGACAAAGAAATAATTTCTGCAATCTTTTGGGAATAAATGAGGCAAACAAAAATTGTATATTTTTGTTCTAGAAAAACTTTTTACCATTTAACAAGCAAAATTCTTAAACATTAAAATTCTTCAGCAAAGCAAACATCACAGGCTCTGCTTTTTTAAATACAAGTAGCAACAGGCTTAGTTTTGTTTCCTTTTCAGTAGAAGTAGCTGTGTCCCACTGTATGGATGTAAAACCCTAAACATGCTTGTGTTTTATGAAGGTACATCAAGTGTAGCAAGAGCCTGGAGTGGCACCTTTGATGAACTTCTTGGAAAACGGATTGGTCATTTCTTCAGTGCCTACTTCAAAATGAATTACTCTGGGCTAGCAGAGTATCCTGACTTCTTTGCTGTACTCCTTATATTACTTTTATCAGGTAAGAAAATATATGGCTTAATTGATGGTGGTTGTGATATTTTTCAGTTGAAAGTGCTAAATTGTAGGGTTTTGCACAGGAAATACCTTAAGGAAGTTCAGAGCCACATTTTGTATTGGCACAGTGGCTCTCTGAATTAAATATATATAACCAAATTTTCACATGCACTTCTCTTGAAACTGAGTCATGAACCAATCACTTGTCAGTACTTTTTTCTATAAAACCCATTGTACAGATTGATGGTAATAGGAAAATTACACAGTTCTCCATGTTTTCATGGCTCTCTCACCAGCAAATGCTTCTGGAGTGGCCTGAAGGTTAAGCTCTCTAGTTTGGTGATGTGGTCTCCTTAAATTATATATTGTGCATGTAGTGGGCATTTGTAAGGGGGTTTTTCCACCTAAGTTGTTCACTTATTTGGTATATAATAACATTCCCGTTTATAGGTCTTCAGTTGTTTATCCTAGAGTTTGTTTGACCTAAAGGGCACCCCAAGGTACTTATATGGACCAACAGACCAGTTAGAAACCTGAGGAAACCTTTCCTGTCTACTCTTCCAAGTCCTTTCTCTTTACTCATGTACCATGCTTTTAAATCACAAACACTGACACTAGCTACCTCCTATTTGAGGGATCAGAAGGCTCAAAAATACTGCAACTTATTTCCATGTTTGTGTTTTACAATTATTTACCATATAGAAATGTTCCTACTGCCACTGGGAGTGAAGGAAGCAGGAAGTGTATTCTAAAGCGTGCAGTTTGTTTTCAGGCAATACTAGAAGCATTTCAATATTCGGTAGAGGTCTTACCCATATCTCATATACTTGTCACGTTCAGTCTGTCTTTGGATTAAACCAAAGCAGCTTTTCTTCTCTGGAAAGTGAAACTAAGTTATATGTACATAACCTGTTCTCTGGTTCTGAGTGGGTTTTTTTTGACACAGGAAAACATTTCTGTTCTACCTATTGCTCGAATGAATGACCAGTGCATCTGAAGATTTATTAGGTCTCTGTACTTAAAAGAATGGCTTCCTATACTTGCGAAGATCTGGGAGTTGACTTGACTAGGTTTAGTCCAGCATCCTGCCACGTTTGTGGCTCAGAGTTGCCTTTAGGACCAGTTCAGACCCTTATGTCCTCAGGAGGGTTGGGAATGAATGTGGAATACAGCTGGAGCAGACCTTTCAGTTTCACCTCTTCCAAATAAAGGAGACAAAAAATAACACCCTGAAAAGCAGAGCACTGAAACATCACAAACCAAACTATACAGTCCTAGTTTAGATGCTGACATCTTTTGTGTTTTCTCCATTGCCATTGCTGCTTCCGAACATAATTAGAGGTTCTTGAAAAAAGGGAAAAGGTTTTCCCTGTTGTTCATCACTGCTGCTGAGTTTTTATTTGTGTCCTGTCTTTTCATCCCTACCATCATTCCTTCTTCACTCCTTTCCCATTTGTGCTGCAAATTGCCTCTCCAGGTGTCTGTGATAAGGACCCAAACCGCCTGTGACTGAACTGGGTGGAATTCCTCACTGCTGAAAGGAGGGGCAGTGGGGATGGCTTAGGACTGTGTAGGCTGAGCATGATACAGTGATTGGATTGTGAGCTGTGTTGTAAAGCTGAGTCATAGGAGTAGCAGGTGATGTTATACAGAAAATGTTATGTGCTCAGCGCAAGGAAAAGTACAGAGAAATCTGGGGGGTTTGGGGATTTTTGTTTTCTTTGGGCTTTTTGTGTGTTTGTTTGGGTATTGTTTGTTTAATTTTTGGGGTTCTTTGGGTTTATTTTTGTGGGGGGTTGGGTTTTTTTTGTTCTGTTTTGGTTTGGTTTTTTTGATAAAGGACTTCAAAAATGCACAAACTATGATTCACACTGCCTTTTTGGGAAAAACTGAGCTGAAGAAAGCATATGTCTATTTTAATAAAAATGTCATCGGTGAAGAAAACTTGAGCAGCTCATAAGATAATTTCCGTGTTCTGATAAGATAGCAAATATCTCATTAGTGGAGTAAGAAACTTTTTAGACATTATTTTGAGAGGCTTAAAATTTTCAGTCTTAATCTCTAAATAATGAGGGAAAGTATGTATGTGATATAGTGGAATGCTTAGAGAGCAAAGGACCTGTGAAAACTTTCCAATTGCATTTAATATTTCCTGATCTGCTCACTGCCTGTTCCATTAAACTGCTAACACTCTAACACTTAAAATTGTTTGAAATCTAATGATAAAGTAGAATCCTGACTTAATAACTTTCAGATTGTTGAAATGTTCTACTCTGTAATCTAAAGCCATGTGTATTTTGTATCTGTTTTCTAGAATCTTTATGCATCTGCTAACACTCTAACACTTAAAATTGTTTGAAATCTAATGATAAAGTAGAATCCTGACTTAATAACTTTCAGATTGTTGAAATGTTCTACTCTGTAATCTAAAGCCATGTGTATTTTGTATCTGACTGTTTTCTAGAATCTTTATGCATTAGTGTAACAAACATGAGGTGTGCATTTCTTTTAAAGCTGTTACTAATGAACTAGGAAGTGGGACTTAGTCTGATGGATGTGCTCTGAAAAATGTAGAGTCAATCAGTCATATTGTTAATTTAATAATCGTGCCTCTTTTCTTAATCTAACAGATAATTCTTCTGTAAGGAATGTATTCTACTGATCTATTTTTACAAAGCATAGAATTCTTGTAGCTACTTTTACTCCATGGCATAAAACAGAGATATGGATTGGTATCTCAGAGAAGTAAAAAGTAGCCATTGCTAAAAATACTTTTAAATCCTTAAAGAAGCTTTCTTTTATGTGGTTTCCAATATATTTGCCTATTGTCATGCTGTTAAAGAGTCTAGTATGTTTGTGATAATGCTTTTTTTAAAATCTGGTGATGCTTTTTCAGTATTATTCAGAGTACTTACATATATATACGCACACACATGCACCCCTTCTTTTACATGTATTCCTTCTTTAAGTGCCATTTTATTAGTATAATGGGCCATTCACATCTATAAAATATTTTTATTTTACAGGTCTTTTATCTTTTGGAGTAAAAGAGTCTGCATGGGTGAATAGAATTTTCACTGCTATTAACATCTTGGTCCTAGTCTTCGTTATTATTTCTGGTTTTGTGAAAGGTGAAGCTGACAACTGGAAGAAAAGTGAAGAATATCTCAGAAACTTTACTGCAGTAACAGAGTAATTTTTAAAAATCTATTTTCTTTCTCATATTTCAAGCAGTTTTCTCTTTATTATAATAAACATTGTTAGTGTTTTAATATGTTTTGTCACAAACTTCAAAGCAAGTAAGATGATAGTTACTTGATTCAGACATTCTTTCTTTTGCTGTTATTTTTCTCTTTATTACTAGCTTGGACATAAAAATGACACCTCATGCAGTTTTGTAAAGCAGACCTCTGTCATGAAAAGAACACTTAAAACTTTTTTGTTTCAGAGTTCTAGAGTAGGAGGGTGCATGTATTTGTCCTACCAATAATGAGGGGGGAAGAATTATCTTTCTGCTGTATTTTTTTTCTTTATAGGAACTGCTCATCCTATGAAAATGTGACGAGTATGTATGGGAGTGGTGGCTTTATGCCATATGGTTTCACAGGAACTTTGGCTGGTGCTGCAACCTGTTTTTATGCTTTTGTTGGATTTGACTGCATTGCAACAACTGGTATAGTATTTATATATGTGTGTATATGTGTTTAATATGGGGATATTTTTGAAAAAAAAAAAAACCCCAAAGAACCACAAACAATAATACTCTGTCTACAATTCTTACTTTGCTTTCTTCCAAAGCTCTTTTAGTCAATGTAGAATGAGTCTAAGTTCATTCCTGAATGTGGCTATCTGTGGGGAAGAAGGAGGAGGTTCATTCCTGAATGTGGCTATATGTGGGGAAGAAGGAGGAGGTTCTGCTTATTTCATTCCTCTTCTAAAGAAATGATTGCTGCTTTCTGAGTCTGGAAAGTGCTTAGTATACAATTTTTCTGCTCAAATAATGTTCATCACCTGCTCACTTTTACAGTTCTCTGAGATAAGGTGTCTTTCTCAATGGCTGACAGGGAATGAGTATACTGGGTACATTGAAAACATAGGTAAATAACTAAAAATTACGGGCTTGGAATACTGTCCCTGTAAAATGTATTTTATGACCTTTAATTTACCACTACTTTAACACTATTTCTGACAACTAAATACTGAGCTCTGTTCTGTGTGTCTCCATTTGTTTTACTCAGGTTTTTAAAACTTCTATTACAGATGTGATTCCCTTGACAGATTAACAAGTGATTTGTCTTTGATGTTGTCTCTTAAAGCTGAAGGGGAAAAATAGTACGAATTTTTGTTGGGGCATTTTCTTTTCCTTTTTTCAGGAGAAGAGGTCAAGAATCCTCAGAAAGCCATACCCATAGGAATTGTGGTGTCCCTACTTGTCTGCTTCATGGCCTATTGCTTGGTTTCAGCTGCACTGACACTTATGATGCCATACTATCTGCTAGATGAGAAAAGTCCTCTGCCAGTAGCGTTTGAATATGTTGGATGGGGTCCTGCTAAATACGTTGTAGCAGTGGGATCCCTCTGTGCTTTGTCTACAAGGTAAAGATACTGAAATACTAATTCTGTTGGGAAGAGCTGATGAATAATATATTACATTTGTATGTATGTTCGTGTGTTCATTTTGAAGGCTCAGTACATGCAAAGAATTAGCAATAAGTATTATAAGCAAGCCTTGAACTTAAGCAAGTCTAGTTGACAGTAGCTGTGTTAATTTAGGCTCCTTTTTGTTTTTTTTTTTTTTTAACTGTACAGTTATTGAACTCTACCTCTTTGGTAGAAGCTTATTACACCCATTTTATATATATTTATAAGTAAGTATTTTCAAACATATGACCTGCAAGTTATCTTTATTAACTGACAAAGTAAACCTCCCTCATTTTTCCTTTTTTTTGCTGTCCATTCCCAGTGACTCAGCAGCTTTATGGGCTCTGTGTATTTGCAGGCAGAATTGAAGACATGATTAACTAGCTCCACTCCTCATCTTCATTGCCTGTCTCTGTTTTCCTCCAGCAGCCAGTCTGTCTTCTGACATTATCCCTTCCTGTGGTTTCTGTGTGGGTATTTGAGATGTAGACTATAGCTGTGAAAATATTATAATTTATTCCCCTTTGTGAAACTGTGAATGTAACCTTAACATATTATTTTGATTAAAAAGATCAGGGAGGGCACAATATATATTAGTATGTGTTCAAATATATTACACCCCAATTGTAATATGATACAAACGCTTAAATAAAATAGAAAATTGCTTGATACTTGAATTTAGGGATAGAAAAATGCTGATGCCGATCTTTTACCTGAGCTTATGTAGGTAAGGAGTCATTTCCAAGAGCTTCAGTAGTAAGAACACTGGCTGCCTTTCCACAAAGGAAAGCAAGTTGCCTGTGGAAGCACTAACACTAACAGCACTCTGACATAACCCTGCAGGCATTAGCCTGAATATGAGTTTGTTGACTGTGGGCAATGGTTTAAGGGAAAGGAGCATTTAGATCCAGGAGGGGATAGAAACATGAAGTAGTTCCAGAAGGACACTAAAAGAAATGTAGGACTGACTGAAGAATGTCACAGTTGCACAGTTCATCCTGGGATTGTTTTTGTTATTTCTATATATTTGTCATGGTCCCCTGAGGTTGGAGGGTTTCACTGATTTTTTTTTCTTTACATTGATAAATAGTAGACGTTATATATAAGAAACTAGATTAAAGAAATTAATGCTGGAAAACAAAGTGAACTGAAATGGTAAGAAATTTTTAGAAATTTGAAGTGTCGATCTCTTTTTCCAGTGTGTTCTGAAGAATTACATGTACTCCTGTGGAGAGATTAATCTTTCAGTCTGTTAACTGATGTTAGTTTAGAACAAAACAAAGGAAACTATGTTTCATGCTCTTCAGTTTAGAGGTACAATGAAGGAAAAACATTGGGATTAATTGCTTTTGGTTTCCTGTTACTGTGCTATGTCATGAACTTGTTTTGCCAGGTAAAGATGTTTGTTAATACTGCCATTATGTATGTGAATGTACATAAAGAAGGGTAGGACAAATGAACCTTACAAAGCTAAAACAACAAAAAACTTCTGGAATTTTTTTGAATGTACCTTCTTTGTGGAAGGTACACTTATACATCAAAATCAGTTCATTTGCATAAAACTTCTCTCCTGTTTACCCTTAATACTTGTGTCCCACAAGCATTACTGGATGTACCTAGCACCTGTGGCATGTAAGAGCTGTGCCTTCTTTAAGTGATAGAGTTGCTTCTCTAAAGTAAGAAAGGAAACCCTTCACCTGGTTAAAAACTTATGTGCTTGCTGCAGAGGTTGTACTACCTATGATTTCACCTTTTGTTTTCTTAATTAAAAGTATTTCTCTTTGAGGGAAAGAAGCCACCTAATTTAAGAAATATGTTTAAGAGCTTCAGGTTATCAATAGTTTAAAAGCTTTATGTGTTCCAATGACATCTAAATTAATTAGCTTTACTTCTTCCAAAAAAAATCTTAATGCAGCTTGCCTAGAGGTGCTTTAATCGAAAGAATTAATCTGCCCAAGTATACTTGTATGATGGTGCTTACTTTGAATTACTGTTAATCAGCAGGCTTACATGGAAATATAGAGTGTAAGGGATGCTGCTTATGCTTATTTATTTGCTGCTGCTGACTGACAGACTTTCTCCAGGAATACTAAAGCTTAATTGCATAGTCAGTGTGATCTGGAACATGTTCCTGGTCCATTAATACCCAAGAGTTATGGTGATGGGAAGAGAGTTATCTTGCTAATCTGGATTCCGTCTGATGAAGCAATTTTATTACCTAAATTAATATAATAATAATGATAAATCAACTTCGCAGTTAAAAAAATCTATTTGTGTCTGATCTGTAGTATTTTGGGCTGTGGGGCTTTCTGGTTTTGTCTTACAACCATACATTTGGTTTCTATACATGCCATTAATTAACATTTTTTATCTTGTCCATGAATACAACTCTGCATGAATTGTGTTTGCCATGTTGCATGTGTTTGCTTTTTACTCAGTCTTCTTGGATCCATTTTCCCAATACCACGTGTAATCTATGCTATGGCGAAGGATGGGTTGCTTTTCAAATGTCTAGCTCAAATCAATTCCAAAACGAAGACCCCACTAGTTGCTACTCTATCGTCTGGTGCAGTAGCAGGTGAGACTAAGAGTTGATCCTTGTAAAGAAAGGTGCACTGCTAAACACGTTGAATATATGGAAATAAACCACTGTTGTGCAGCTTTGATTTGCTTTGGACTGAAATGATCAAATCTGCTTGTTGCTAGGTAGTCTACCAGTACAATTTTTCTCTACCTCAGATTTTTACTTGTTGGTTTATCTCAAGTACTCTCAAAGCCTAGGGTCAAAACAAACAGTAGCCCAAAACCAAGCACATCAGTCGACCAAACAAAATCTTAAGAGCAGCAACACAGAGCCTAAGCAAAACTATACCTAAACCCATTAACTCCTCCAAGCTTTCTTTTTGTGTAGTTGGGTTTACCAATAAAGCATTGTGCTTTTAATAACCTGTACTTGAACTATACATTTTTCTGTTCTAGTCTTCTCGGCTCTATGTTCCCTTTGCCCCGAATTCTGTTTGCCATGGCACGTGATGGTTTACTCTTTAGTTTTCTTGCCAAAGTGAATAAGAGGCAGGCACCAGTTTCTGCCACCTTGACAGCAGGGTTCATCTCTGGTAAGCTCTCAAAGCCCATGTTACTTAAAACTGAGATTTAAACACTCTATGCACGTGCATGGTACTTTATATTTTTGAAAAGGGCTGCTTGTTAACTTCCCTTGCATGTACAATGGGAATAAAATTACTGAGTAATCAATGGGTGTAAGAACTCCAGATCAAGCCAATCATGGTGGTGGTGATGGTCTTAATGCCACAGAAATTTTATTTTTTTTTAATATTAACCCCCGTATGGTGAATAAGCTTGTTGCTTAATCTGAGTCCCTTAGGTTGATGCTCTACTGGCAGGGCTTCCTTGTCTGATGTAGACCTACTATATTCATCCCATCTGTAATGGGGGGAAAATAACTCACTTTTTTTTTTTTTTTTTTTTTTTTTTTAATGAAAAGGGAAAAAATTTCTTTTGCAGCAGGATCAACTTTTGTGTCAACTACAAGGATTTTTTAAATTGTCTCCCATAGAAAATGATTGTTGTTGTATAGGCTTACCAAGTTGTGGCTGAGGGGCATGTGTGTGTTGGGGGCTTATGTGTCCGTACATATATGTACACACATACGTGCCTACATTTATTTCACCAAAACAGTATTTTGGGAGCCATTGCCAATTCCTAAGGTAAATTCTTAACATTCAGTTCTTTCACTTCTGTTCGTACTTCTTCCTGAGGTACATATAGCTGTGCCCAAATTTCATTGTCATTTTAGTGGGATGTTTAATCACCCTGGAAAACCAGAAGCTTTAGAAGTATTTAGTTCAAAGGAAAATAAATAAGTTTTTTTAAGTAATTCAAATATCAATACATGTCTTAGAATTTTTATGAACCTTGGCTAAAATTAATCTCAAAAAACGGTACAGGAATGAGACGAAAATATTTTTATTTATAGTCAGGGTCATCCTCAGAAGCCACAAGACTGGAACTGCTCAAACTGTGTACTTGACAATAATGCAGAAAGGCACAGTTGTTTTCCAGGTAGTTCCCACATGATGCATTATTATCAGTTCCCTTTTCTTTGGTCAAAGTACAAATAGATTGCAAAGCATTAGTTTTATTATTTCAGCTTTATTTTATTTGAATTTATCTAATTGACATATTCTGCCATAAGAATTTGGAAGTGCAGTTTTGTGGGATGAAATCAAGATCTTTATGTGAAATCACAGTAATGATGAGAAGAAAGAATAGTGTATTACCTAGCTGGTAAAGTGATTGGTATAGCTACACAGCCCTGCCTGTAGCTCTGCAGCAGCTGACATTGGACTGCTTCTAGACAATCTTTAGCAATCTGGTGCATCAACAGCTCACCAGAAAAACACCTTTACTGCTGGAGCAGCATTTCTTCTTCTATATTTTTAAACCATATTTGGCAATTTGTGGTCATAAATAGTTTTGACAGAATAGTTATGGATGTATGCAACAGCTTATAAGCTTATATTATCTGACTTTTCTCTGCATTTGTAGCATGAATAGTTTTACAGCTGTAAGAAACGTTAAGGAGATGGGATGCTTAATTAAAGTTACCAAGTCAAGACTACAGCTGAGGCAACCATCACGTGTTATTACATGACTGACCTTTTCACAGGTGGTAATCACCATGGCAGACCATAGCAAAATGTTTTGGTGTCAGTCCAGTTTCACCATTAATGGACCTACTGTTGTCTCTTAGAGTAGAACTAAGAGATGTGGAAAATAAATACTCTGCCTTTTTTTCTCTTAATATAGAAGAATTACTAAGAAGAAACTTGCAGGCATTTTTCATCTTGTTTCTAAAGTTAACATCCAGGCTACAGAGTAGCCTTTCGAAGCTGGGATTTAAAATTACATATAGCTACCATACATGAGGTTTTAGTAGGTTCTGTTCTTCCTCAGCTTTGCTCTTTAGAGCATGAAAAGCAGTGAGGTATTAAAAAAAAATCTACACTGCAAATTGCTTTTGGATTTAGGAACATCCACTCACATTGAAGAAAACAGGATGGTCTTTCTTAATTGGAAAAAGAGACTCCCAGATTATATGAAAGTTGTGTAATTCAGCAGTCTTGTTTTCAGAAAATCACATTTTGCTTCCTCCCTTAGGATCAAATACCAGGGGAGTATGTGTCCATGTGTTTGTGCACTTATGCAGCTCTCCACAAATACATTAACAAATGTATACCATAAATATTTTGAATATAGAATAATTTGGGTGTGCATATGCACACAGTGTATAAAGACTACATTTAATAGTTTCTTTTGATGTTGAGATTATTGATGATTCAAAAAATCTGCATCTCAAAAATATTAATAAAATACCAATCCTTTAAGAGGCTCTTAAAGTATGTGTATGTATTTCAAATCAATTGGAATTAGCCTTTCATTTACTGATAGCTTCTCCTAATTTTTTTATAAATAATGTGCTTCTGTGTGCAAACAGCATAGACTAAAAAAGATGTTCCAGAATCTCCAAATGAATATGGCATTAGCTTTTATAAATACAAGATTTCTATAATTACTTGCACTGCCATGGAAGTTTCTGCCTCTGAGTTCAATGATCATAAGAATATTAATTCTTGAGAGATGTTACTGGTCATTCCTGAAGGTGAATTGAAAACTAATTTTAGTAAGATAACCATTAAAAAAAAAACCTCACAAAATTATTTTATTTGAGAAAACTCCTGAAAGTCCTCTTCACACAGAGCTCTTTCCCAGCTCAGCAGAAATTTTACATCATAGTGAATTTTTCTCAGTTTGGCAGTGGGATCCATCCCTTCAGCTTTGGTGAGATTCTGCTGCAGGATCTGAACTTCATTCTGTAAAAATGTATTTTTAATACGGCCCAAATTCAACAATATGTGTGCGAATACTTATATCCAAATAAATCCAATATAAGCATTTGATTATGCAGCATGACTGTAGGACTCATCAGGGCCTATGTATATGAATGAGATTCCCAACTGTGGGGAATTAGGTCTGGAATGATACCAGTAGCTTAAAAGATGTGGTTTTCAGAATTATCGTGATTTCACTCATATTGCTGTCAGTAAAACAATAAGTTATGTTGCAGACAGATTTTAAAATCTTAGCTTAATACATTTTTAATATTAATCTTGGCACTTATGGTTAGACTTGATGATGTTAAATTTCTTTCCCAGTGTGGATGATGCTACAATTCTATGTCAGTCTCCTGGAATCTCTTCCATCTCTTTTCTTTTTTAGCTGTAATGGCATTTCTGTTTGACCTAAAGGCATTAGTGGACATGATGTCTATTGGCACCCTTCTTGCTTATTCACTTGTGGCAACCTGTGTCCTCATTCTTAGGTGAGCCAAAACCATCCTTTGTATTCTACTGTGGGGTTTTTTTGGGTTGGTCAGTAAATAAACAGAATTCATATTTACAAGACATGTTTTTTGTTAGATAGCCAGTAGCTGTAAACATATAAATGGTTTCTGAGAAGCAGTGACTCCTCTAAGTAAACAATGATATATTGTTACATAGGTATAGCAATGAGTTGGGTTAAAGATTCTGGTGAAATCGAGACACCTTTTACTTTCCAGAAGAAGTATTGGTCCAAGCATTAGTCCCAAAGGTACTAAATATAAGCTTGAGTACAGAATTCAGTGAATGATACTTGTATATGAATACAGTCTACACTGTACATCAGGCATATTGCATTTTGGGGAGTATATGTGAAAGGGGTTGATGTTCCAGTAGGTTCACAGAATGAACAAGGTCTAATAGTTCCTTTGTATTATCCTAGTTAGAAATATAAGACCAGACAAGTGTTTTAAGATGTGGTGGCCCTAGAAGAGAGGGCAAATATGAGTGAGATTATAAATACTTCTCAGTAAAACTCTGTTTTCAGTCATGTTTGTAAAGCTAGGGAATTATATACTGCTAGCCACAGCTCACTTTATTATGTATTGCTCTTCTGATTTTAAAAAGTTAGCCTTTATTACTTAAGGGCAAGTAATTAACTTTGAAAAGTGTAACAGCTTAAATTTGGCTCAAATTCATTGTCACAATAATTTACACTTTAAAAGAGAAGCCTATTCTATTTTAAAAGAACTGACTTACCATAAATATTTTTAAAAATACACTCAAAAGCTAACACAGCAGATGTCAATTTTCAGTTAATGCCAGTTAGTAGCCTCTTAGAGTATAGGAAGCAAGTCAGAAACTTACTCTTTCCTTGCTGTTGACTACCAGACCCACTCCTTTCTTTCTGTATGGGACTGGTCATTTATCTGAGCTATTGGTGCATTCAAGTAGCTTAAAAAACTGCCAAAAAAAATCTCCAAAACAATCCAAAAAGTGTGTTGCCATAGTATTTTTATATGACACTGACTAATAATGCTGTGGCAGTGCAGTTATAACTTGAGAAATTCTAATGCTCTACTGAAAAGAATTTAGTACTTCAGTAAATTCCTAGAGTCATATTACTTCAAATCCAGAAGTGTGCTTTATGTTTTTTTATTACTGTTTTTTATGCATAGGTACCAACCCACCTATGAGGAACCAAAATACTCTCCAGAAAAAGCAGCTTTGGCTGCAGCTGAAAGGGAATCTGCAGTAAGTGAGTCACAGATAAACATGATAGAAGAGAATCACTTCCGTCTTCAGGCCTTGATTAATCCATCCAGTTTACCCACTGAGCAGACTGCAACTATAGTTAACTTCTTAGTGGGCCTCTTAGGTAAGTATTTGGCTGTCCGAACTCATATATGCATTAACATTTATAGTGGAATTTTATTAAAGACAGAATTAAAAATCCACTGATAACATGCCTTGTTTCAGTCATACATGTGTCATTCTGTGCTGCTATCCTTCATGAATCTGTCTAATCTGTAGTCATTTTCATTTAATTAAACATATTCATAACAACAGTACATATTGAAGCTTGCTACCACTCTTCTTAAAAGTCACTTCCTCTTCAACACAGGATTAAGTGACCTATTTCTGTAATTTTGTTTTTTATACAGCTTTCTTGATTTGTGGCTTGAGTGTCCTCATTACATATGGGATTCATTTCATTGCTAACTTGGAGCCCTGGAGTATTGGCCTTCTTGCTTTATTGGTGATATCCTTCATAGTTACCATTCTCCTCATCCAAAGGCAGCCTCAGAACCAGCAGAAAGTAGCCTTTATGGTGAATAACTTGTTCTCTGTGTTATTCTCTGATGACAGCTTCGGATGGATTTTAATGAGTGGGAGAGAGAACTTAAAGCTGGAAAACAAGTCAGAAACTGATGAGTGTACAATCACTTGTCTGTGTAGTCTGCAGTCCTTTGGACCTAATGCAGAGTAAAAGTACTTTCATTTTGCAGTTTCACTTATGTTCTAAGATCAGTTATTTAATGGAAATAATGAAGTACAGTGATAAAGGTTAAGGAATCTGGTGGAGGTGGGGGAACATTTCAGAATAAGAGAGATAGATATATTATTTTTCAGCTGTAAATACAGGAATTCATTAGTATATGTCCCAGACAAACTGGAAAGCTTTTTGTAGACTTAGAGAATATATATTAAACATAATGTGTTTTAAAAGTTTAAGATCACTGTTGGTTAAGCCCAGTGAAAATTTCACTACATTACGACATCAAAAAAAGTTCAATTCTTTATTAGTGATTACATGTTACCTCTGGTTTGTGTTACATACCTGAAGTGTGACATGCAAAAAAATGTATGTTTAATAGAAACATATTAAATATTTCCTTTTAGGTCCCACTATTGCCATTTTTGCCATCATTCAGTATACTGGTAAATATTTACTTGATGGTACAATTAAGTGGAGAGACTTGGATGAGATTTAGCTTCTGGATGTTACTTGGTATGTACTTCTGTTCATTTCAGTTGCTTCATATACTAGAACTCATGATTCCCAACTTAGAACATTCTTTTCCTTCAATATTTGAAAAAATCTCTGTGATTTAATAAAAATCAGCTAGTAATTCTGATAAAAAAGAATAGCATGCTTCAGAAGAAGTATGTATATGCATTCAAAATTACAAATATAGGTTTTTAGGTAATAGGAAGAATTCCAATAAGACGTTTTGTTTTTTTTTCATAGTAAGTATAGCCAAAATTATGTAGAAACCTGCTTGTAACAGGTTTCTTCCCAGTATATCAGTCTGTCCCCTTTTAGATCTAAAAAATTGTCTTAATTCCATCTAGACATGAATTAGAGATAATACTTTCCATAACTTGTTAGAGCATTTAATTATGCAAAAAAGATGCACTGGAATTTCTTGTAGAAACAGAGGTGACCTAAAGCATGAGCTCTGATTCAGATATCTGAAGAAGAATATTCTTCAGCAAAAATCTATTCGGCCAGAGAAAAAATATCTACTTTTTAATGCACTACTTGCCTGAAAACCCTATGAACTTTTTTTTTTTTTTTCCTTTTGGAAGGTTTCCTCATTTACTTTGCTTACGGCATCAGACACAGTGTTGAAGGTCATCGTGGTAATGGAGATGATGATTCTTGTTCAGAAAATAGTGGGATGCAAGAAAAAAACCCAGTGGATGACCCTGAAAATGCAAATGAAAGGGATCAATTTCTTCCACATGAAAGGACAAGTGAATGTTAAACTCTGCAAACACACAAATCTTTTAAACCTTCAATTGGCATTTTACTTGCAGACTGAAATTTCAGAAGCTTTCTGCCAACATGTGCCTCTTGAAAGTGTTTACTACAAGGCCTGACTGATATTTTGGAGAAGCTGCTAATCCATCTTCATAATTTCAGAACTTACAGCATGGAGATTAATATTTAAATTTTTTTTAGAAGTACCCTTTGGCAAGCAAAAATTTGGAGACATTGTTTGAAGTGTCATTCAAAATCACTGTCAATCATCGGATATGAAGAATTTTAGAACTGTCTGAAAGAAGTTCTGAGTATTTGAAAATCCACTGTGAACATAAGTGCCTTTCATACTCTTGCTTATCGTTGTTATGTGTTTTGGTAACAATCTAAATTCTCTTCCTTCTGTTGAAGTAACTCATGGGAGATAAATTTCATTCATACAGACCTGGAAAGTATTTGCAAAATGAATGGTAATGACATGGATTAGATACTTTGTAAAAATTAGAGGAGCATTTATTTATGAGAAAAAAGTAATTGCTTATCTTTATTAATCATGACTATTAATCTGTAGTCATTGAGAACTCAAGCAGTGAAGATACTTAAAAGATTTTTAGTCCCTCTAAACAGCATTCAAGTTTTCTACTTAAGTGTATGAATTTTCTTTGAAGGACGCTTCTCGCAATAGAAGCTCTTTCGTTTTCTGCAAAATCATCAGGGAAATAATATGTTGGTTACAGTATTGATAGTGGCAATCAGATGTGATTTAGCAAACTGTGCTTTTGACTTCAGAAGGGCCAGAATTTCATCTGACTAAATAATTTGCTACTTACCTCCATCAGTCATCCAATTTTCCTCCTTACTACTCGTTTTCCCCTCTATATTTTCTCCTTTATACGTGTTCCAGAATTGATATTGCTGAGATTAGTGTTACACATTGCTTCTATGAAAAATTAACTAACAAAATCCCAGTTTTCTTTTCAGATGGTAGGGGAGGCTAAAAAAACAGAGGTCTGGGTTTTGGAAAAAAAAAAACAACTTATCAAAACAGTATTTCATTGCTTCATTAAGTCTTAAAATGTATGTTAGTGAAGCACTTTTTTGTGAGCCAAGCCTGCATCCACAAATCTGTTAATGTGGGTATGATGTCTAAATGTAATTTATGTAAAGAACCAAACTGGTGAAGCAGTGCTGGGTAAACAATTATTTTAATGCTGGTAAAACCAGAAAATGTTCTTCTTTCAAATCATGTTATCTATCAAAGGCACCCAGATATTTTAACACTTTTTGTCAGCAAGGAGTAGGTTCAAGTCCCATGAAGGATTCCACAATATGAAGTGATTTTGCAAGAATATATTTACAAAAAGTCCTTCCCTAGAGTAAGAACAGTCTTGGACTTTGTCGTGGAGAGTTGCAATCTGTTGCTGGTACTAAGCATTAGTATTAATCTCTGTTGTTAGGTATAAGAACTTCGATGCCATGAGAGCTATGTTGGTTGACAGTGAAGAGCACCTTACTTTTTATAATGGCTGGAATTTTATGGGGAAAAAAAAAAAAAGAAAAAACAAACTAGTTAGGTTGCTTCTGTCTCTCTCCTTTTTCAGAGAAATAAGTTGCTCTTTTTAATCTTAAAATCACTTCTTTCATGGTAGTCTTAAATCCTCAGCTTCAAAAAAAGCCATTGCTGTGGGAGCAAGTCAGCCACGCCCATGTGAAGATTTTGCATGATGTCTTTACAGGCCTACAGTGAAACACAGTTCTTAAAATTCCTTCCACATCTCAGCATGTGGGAAGCACAGACTTACTTTTTGCTATGGTTGTTGATGCCATAGAGCAGGCCAGCCAGGCTCCCAGGGCACAAGCTGCTGCTGTTCTGTGCTGTACTAGGAAGACTCCATTTCCTCCCAAGGCCATCCTAGAGAATGTATGTGTGCACACCTGTCCATGCATTTGCATCTGTCTGAAATTAGCCCATAGCGAATTTGATGTACTGGTTAAAATAATTTCTGTATTGCACTGGACTTCTCCTTTCAAGGGATACTGCCAATACACTTAGCTTCTGACTAAAGCAAGTGCTAGCTAAGGCCTCTGGAGAGAACTAAAAGAAGTAAATTTTCTAGCTTATTTACCTGATGAATGTGTCAGCCCTTTGTGTATTGACAAATTCCCCTTTCACTTGTATGAATATTTCTCTCCACTTGTTAGCAAAATTAATTATTTTAAAATAATAGGATGCACCTGTACAAGTGTTGCTAAGACAGATGGGAGGAGCTGCAGCACCAGAACTATCCACATAACTAATGAGATATAAAATGAAATTAAAGGAAAGGCATTGGGTACTCTTAGTTGCTTCAGCTGTGGAAAGCTTATTTATACGTGTGTATAGTCATTATGAGTCAGTGGCTGAGTGAAAACAGACAAGCCAGAAGTAAGATATTTATGGTAAATTTGATGTGCGTTTGTATATGCAGTGTTAAAATTCCAGATGCTTTAGCAGGACTCTGCAGAAGCAAAGGACATGCCTTGCTAGTCCTTACACAGAAGCAATGGATGCAAGAAATCCTGATCCTTTTCTCACGTTTGCTGTATCTCTGCACTTGCTGAAAGATCAGCTGAAACCACAAGTCCATTGGAATTAAATCATTGTTATTTTTTAACACAGTTGTTGGTATTGTAAATTGTTCTGTGCGTAATAATGGTACATATGGTAATAATGGTACATATTAATACAAAATATCTACTTTTGAAGGTAACTTATTGGGTTATTATTTCCTTTGCAGAAAAAAGTTCTTAGAAGATTTTTTTTGGGTTTTTTTTTTTTTTTTTTTTTTTTGTACATTCAGGATATGCCATTAGATAAAAGAATTATTCTTCCCTAGTTGGCTTTAAGAAAGTAAGCCAAAGTATATTTAAAACAGAACAAATAAATCTTTTTGTTCTGATGTATAGGAGTTATAAAACATTTCTGAATAACTGACGTTAACTAAAGTGGTCTTCCTGTGGTATTCCAGTCCTCATTCTGCAATGGGATTTTTATGCGGTAACTTAGATTTCATTGTCTGTTGTCATGGATAAAACTATTCTGTTAATAATAGTATGCTTTTTCCTGCACAACAAATGCTGGTCAGGTTCCTGAAATCTGTCATTGTGCTTATGTTGCCAAGTGTTAAAGCCAATTTTATTACCTGCTGTTGGAGAACCAGCAGCAAGAAATGTCAGTCCTAGTGATACAGAGTTACGTAAGCAGGAATTGACTTGTGTCATCCAGAAACTTTGAATGATACAATGAATTTAGAAGCAAAGCTTGGTAAAGCTTAAATATATATTCTGTATTTTATTACATGATAAATTTACAAGTCTAGTCACCTTTCCCCTAAAATTTATGGAAAAAAAAGGAGATATATTTAAGAAATATAAGGTAATGTTTTCATAGAATTTTTAATAAGTGCCAATATCAATGTGCCATAAGCATCCTGAGGGGGTGACAGTGCAGGAAACCTGCGTGGGACTGTGCAATTGGGTATGAGGCCTTTGACACTGAGACACATTTTTTTACAGTAGGAATTTAATTCACAAGAAGTCTGGTGTGTCTTACTTGAGTGTATAAAGAGAAAATGAAAGCACCTTTTTAATGCTCTTAGGCCCTAATTCTTCCTGGACATGCTGGGAAGTCTGTATGAGTAGCAGTATGTTCACTGAAAGCACTGAGGTTACTCAGTGTTAAGCAAATACAAATTTTACAGAAAGAGCGGGTGGTATTTCATATAGTGTAGGATCTTGATGTTTGTTTTTAATTTCCTGTACCTTTAGTATTTCTTTCTGGTATGTTTTGAGGACCTCTGCATTTTTAATAGTTGGACCTTTTCAAAACTAAATACAATGCCTTTACCCGGTGCTGATCTATTTTCCGTTTGATCTTAAAAACCAAACTCCTTACATGAGCTGAGTTGAAGGATTTCTGTGCATGGACATGCAGACATGCAATACAAAGAACTGTATATGTATATATTTTTTTTATTGTCAGTTGGATAAATTCTGTTGTTTTTCTGTGTTTTCTTGAGCCTTGTACGAGGTCAACTCCAGCTTCACCAAGTTTAGTTGGAGTAAGAACATGAGGATTTCAATATTTAGGAGAGCTTTTTTCTTTTGTGGTATCAGAAAGTAAAGCATGAAATATGTGTTACATATCTTTAAAAACAATTATGTGTGAATCATTTTATAAAAATTAGCATTCATATCTGTCTTTTCGTTTGTATGGACATTTTAGTCATTTCTGTATTGTATGCTGCTGAGCATTCAAAGTGTAGATAGGATGATTATGATGCAATTTAAACTACAAATTTGTATTTCTTTGAAGTGCTCTATCAGAATGAAAAGTCTTGAATTTTTATGAATGTAAAATTGCTTGTATTTAAGAATATGGTGCTTTTCCCCCACTTTACAACAGAATTGTTACCAGTAACATTTTTAGTTACCTTAGTTCCAAATTTTAATGGAAATTGCATTGCTCCTCATTTACTGTAAAACATGCTTTGTGGGATAACAATAGTGCATTTGTTCCATATTTTTAAATAAAGTTGAATATCACTTGTATGTCCTTCATACAGCACCTGTAACTTTAACCACTACTATTGTTTTAGTTAACACTAAAATAATATAGTAACTTAACATCATGATTATGCCAGATATCTAATGTCATGACATTACACAAATCATAGTACATTTAAAATAAATAACATGATACCATTGTATGCACTGTATAGAGGGAACAGAGAAGAACAGCCTTTGATTTGGGCATTTTGTGTTACACTGCCAAACCAGAGATGATGTTAGGTTTGATTTCCAGAGGGGGTGAGTGGCCCTCAGCTTCATGCTCAACTTTCTGAAGCACCAAGCCTTGTCCTGGTATTCACCCGACCTCAGCGCTGGACAAATAAACTCATTGTTGTCTTCTTGTTCCCTTTTTGTGGAAAAAACCCAAACCAACCACAACACTAACAACACCCCCCCCCCCATCCCAATCTTAAAAAAAAAAACCTCCAAAACCCAAAAAGGACCCCAAACAACCCAACCCCAAAACCTTAATCAGTTTTGAATAGTATTGTGAGTATGGCAAGAGAATAAAAGCATGTAGGCAATGGATGACAGTGGTCTGGACACAGAACCCTACTGACAGAGCAAGATTATCATCTGGCACTGTTTTCAAAGACATTTGAGTAGTCATCTTTGTTCACAGACTTAAAAGTAGTTATAACAGTATTTCTTCTGAGGTATATTCTTTATAAGGAATCATATAATAGTATTCAAATTATTAATAATCACCTTACTGTACATACAGATATACTAAGACTGGTCTTGAAAATCTAGGTCCCATGAAGCAGTGGAATAGGGCCACTGATTTAAATGAGGACAAGTCATTCTGCAAGCATGTCACATTCAAATCACATTTAAAATATTACTTTAATCTATCAGTTTACTCATCTGGAGGACTGGGTTCCTTACATGAAGATTTACATTAGCTTTTCTGATGGCTATAAATGAAAATGTCTTTCATGCTTACCCATTGTAGAGTAAAATTCATAAAATAACTTTCTTCATCATACACATTGTACACATAGGTAAAAGGAATATGTCAGTTTAAATATGTCTTAAAATTAATGCAGTCTGAGTGTTATTTCCATGTGCTATTACCATATTTTCCACAATACACTAATACTTGAAGCTCAGACACCATTGACCTACCCTGTGTGTGAAAGCAAAAGGGAAATTTCACCTAGGAAGGCACATAAGGATTGCAATCACTAGCTTTGCAGATGACAGGGGGAAAAAAAGCCCACTCTTCATCATAAGCAGGAGTTGTGAGTATTTCCACTGCAGATTTGCAGTTTATACTACACAACTTTTCTGAGTTCTCTTTGAGATTCATTTACATTAAACCAAAGACTGATAACTTTTTCAGATATAATACTTAGTATTCTAATTGTTTCAAGGGGAACCACTTTTTAAATACTCTGTAGCAACCAAAATATTCTTTTTAAAAATTTGTTACAGGTAATGGATGACATGCTTATGATACACTGATAACAGAATGAAAAAGAGATCATGACATTTCATCATCCTACTCCACTCCTGGGCCCTACTGGCTTCTTTATGCTAACCAGGTGCCCCAGGGTGAAGTCTCAGAGCAGGGTCAGGCAAGCAAGTCTCCAAACTCTGCATGTGTGCGTATTTATGATGGTGGGGGAACATTATGCATGGACCTTCTTACTTTTTGTGTGGATGCAGATGAAGCCTAGGCTTCCTTAAAGTAATCTGTAAATGTTCTGTTCTCATATCTGCTGTGACCCTGGAGCTGTGGTCAGGGACACAACTTTTGTTTATTTTTATTCACATTGGACTGTGGTTGTGTCTACTGCAGGGTGTGCCTTTGATCTCTGACAGCCATTCTTTTCCCCCGTTCAAGTCCAATCTTGCCTTGCATCTACCTTTGTGGCCCCTCCAGTTACATTTTCCTCTTCCTTCTCCTACAAGGAAACCCTCAAATTTCAAGGAATGGCTTTTTACAGCTCATTGTGAGCAGAAACACACACGCGGCAGACATCAAGTTTACCACCTTCATCTCTTTGCTACGGGAGAGAGAGCTGCGCCGTCTCAATGTGCTTCACCTGTGTCCAGAGAGAGACCGCCTCTCTGTTCCACAGTGAGGTAGCTTTCGGTGTGGCAGGCTGATACGAGTGCCACAGTTTGACGCAAAAAATATACTTTTGCTCTCTTAGGCCAGCACTGTTCGGTGCCATACATGCAGCCCCGGGGTCAGCTGCGCTACAGCCCGTGCGGCTCTCGCTGCCCCACCCGGCTGCAGGCCCCAGCCGGACCTCTGCAGAGCCTCGTATGGCGAGGGGCAGCTGGCGCCGAGGAGCTGCTTCAAGAACAGACATCCCCGGGTGTCCCCGAACGTCCTGCGGCTGTAACTCCGCTCCGCACCCCGAGCCTGCAGCAAGGAAGGGCGGGGGGCGGCGGGAGCGGCCCGGCCCCGGCCCCGGCCCCGGCCCCTCCCCGCCGAGGCACCCTGGGGCCGCCTCACGACGCGCCCGCTCCGCCGCCGCCGCAGCGCCCGGGCCGCTCCCGCCATGCGGCTCTGGGTGCTCCTCAGCCTGCTGCTGCTGCAGGAAGCGCTGCCACACGGTGAGCCGCCGCCCGACGGGTCCCTCCGCTTTGTGAGGCGCCGCCGGCTTCCCTTTTCCCAGCCGTACCCGCCGGCCAGACCGTCCCGGGGACGGGAGCGGGAACCATCACGGGAGGGGGCGGCGGCAGGGCTCCCGTCCCGCTGGGCAGAGGCGGAGGGAAGGCGGGTTGGTCGCATCGTGTGAGGCCAGCCGGTCGCCGAAGCCTTCAGGCGAAAATGTGGGCTTGGGTTTTGGGGCTGCTCCTGCCGCCTCCTCTCTTTGGGGCAGAAGGCGTCCGATCCCGTGTGGCGCCTGAGGAGGGACAGTGCTGGACGTGGGACGGCGTTGGACGTGGTGCTGGGATGTAGAAAACAACAACAAAAAAATTTTATATGATTGAGGGCATCGAACTTTACTCATAACTTGAGTTATTACGAGAAAAGTTCTCATAACTTTTTTCTCACAGCCGCTTCAGGCTGTGAGAAAGTCTTGGTGGGGAAGGGACATTCGTAACTAGTTCTTGACTTACGTAGACTTTAACTAGCAAAAGGGAGCTCTTTCCCTCTTGCAAAATGTAAATGAACTTATTAATACTCACTTGGAAGAAACAACAAAAAAGTAATTCCATTACTTTTCACTGTGGAAGGGCTTGGGGATCAAGGCCTGCATAACCTGTGGAAGGGTTTGTAGAGAAATAGGAGGCAGGCTCTTAGGTGTGTGGTGAAAGGCAGAAGCACTTACCACAAGTACTTTAGTAGGTTATAAGGAAAAAATTCTTATAAGAATATAAAAAATTTTCTACCCTAAGAGCTGATAAGCATAGAGAGAATTTGTCAGAGACTGTAGAGTCTCCAGCCTCTGGGAAAGTCAGAGCTCAACTGGACATGGCTCAGAGAAGTTGAACAGAGATGGGAAGGGACTTCCAGAAGCCTTTTCCAGCCTAGTTTCTCTCATGACTACATGCAGAGGAATTGCACTGTGGATCAGAGTGATGTGGGAGAGGATTTCTGTTGAAAGATCTGGTCTGTGGGTATAGAGTGATGTGGGAGAGGATTTCTGTTGAAAGATCTGGTATACCCACATCAAGAAAAGTGGCTTCTATTTGAGAAGTAGACAATAAAAACACAGAATAAGAAATTAGTTGTAACTTTGGCTACAGAAAGATTTCCCAAGTCTCTGTTCTTGTCAGTTTCTTATGTTTATACTGAGGTGTGACTGGGTGCTTCCTGCTCTGCCATCCAGAAGCTTAGCGATGGGAGAAGGTAACCAGGCATGTTTAATAAGAGTTTCTTGTCTGAAGCTAAATGTAGAAGTCCTAATGTAGGAATTGTAATTTCAAAATGGTCTTCCTAATTTATCTTACATTAATTTATGAACTACGGAAATATTCCCCTCCAGATTGGCACTGTGTGTGGATGATTAACTTTTCATTTGAACTATCACAAATGATGAGATGTGTCCAGCTTGTTCTGTTACATTACTTGTAATCACAAAGACTCTTTCCTCATAGTAGTCCTGCTGGTTAATTGTACTTTATGGTAATCTCACACTTAATTTATTTTTTATTTATATTTTTAAATTTATTTTTTAAATTTATGGTAACCTCACACTTAATTTATTTTCACCTCAGGGAAGAATTAATCAGTATAAATTGAGAGAATTGTAAGTCTCTGATGGTGCCAAGATGTAGCATGGGTGTGCCTTGTGGAATGGGTATGTCTGGTAGACAGTGAGCGTGACTCCTTTGTCCTTGTGGGAGACCAGGCTCACACACTGCTCTCTTGACTGACACTTGAAGATCAGGGGCCTTCTTGAGTTATAACCTGTGCAGCTGTGAGACCAGTGGAATCTACATGTGGATACAGGTGATGTTTCAAATAAAAAGCAAATGCTTTTTAGGATTATATAACTAACACCCATTTTGATATTGTTGTGTGTGTGACATTTGTGAGAACAAGGGGCAGACATTAAAGGATAGGGTGAGACAAATACTGTGAACCATGAGCAAAAGTGCTGCATGATAGATTTCTGTGGCATGTGGATGCATAGTCTCCTCCTTTGGCATGATGAGTTACTAGGGACCCCAAATGTACTGTTATCACTGAAATTAGTACAGTGCCTCTTAGAACCGACTTCAGGAGCTGATCAGTGTTAGAAATGAGGCATTTTCTTAATTAATGTTTTTCTAAGTCTTAATTTTATTCTATTTTGATATATAATAAGGAATGCTGTTGCACTAAAACAGTGCAACATTAGGCAGTGCAGTGTTATTAAAACAGTGTGGGCTCAGTGCTTACCTCTAGTGAGACAGTGAAAAATCCCAAACGTGGCATGTGCTTGCATAAATGGGCTGGTTGACTGTGTTCATTTTCTTTGGAAAGTCTTGCAGATTAGATATGGAAATGGAGTATTCTTGGTGATGGTTTCTGTGTTCCTGGAGGGATTTGATTGTCACCCTTTACCTTGGGTGATACTGTAGCAGTTAATTTTGTTACCTGGCATGAAAAGACTTACTTCAGCTAAGACAGAAGACAGGATTGTGAGGTGCAGAAGTGGTGCTGGAAGTGGTCAGTAGGTATCTGGACAGACTTAAAAGGGAGTGTTGGGAAGGAGCATGGCCACAGCTTGCTTGGAAACTCACCTGTTTGGGAGGTGCAACAGAGGCAGAACCAGGTTTTCTGTGTAGGAAGGTAAAAGCTCATGTGATGATGAGCTGAAATGCCCCTGCTGTCACCAGCAGGGAAGTACAAGGTCAGGCAGACAAGGCTCTCAGTGAGCAGCTGGGAGCGTGGTGTAGGAGGGAAGTGTTCAGACTCACTGAACTGCAGAAACATGAAACAAGAGGGAGCTTGTGTGGAGAGGAAAAACTTAATCTTGAGAAAATCAAAACCAGGCTTCTGGCACTTAAAATTGAAAAGCTTTCATAGGGAAGTCTTTAACAGTTTCTTAAAGGCAGAGTTTCAGGTGTGGCAGAGCACACAGTATGGGATGAAGTCTTTCCTAGGGGTGAGGTTGCAGGGTTCTTGTGCCTTAGAAGTAATGTCAGGATCGAGGTTGGCAAAAAGTAGTGGCAATGTCAAAGAGTAATTTGAACAAATTTCAGTAGGGTTTGATGGGAAAAAAAAAAGAAAAAGAAAAAAGAAAAAGGAACCAAAGCTTGTACACTGCTACAGAGTAATCTGGAAAGTTCAACAAGGAACTGGAATGGCCAATTTGGAATGGGAATGCTTATTCAAAAGGCTTATCAGGCCTGTCAGTGGAACCTCCCAGTACTAGGGCACGGTAATATGATAGAATTCCACTAAGATGGAATAGCTTACCTGAGGGAGAAGTGGCAGTATGTGTTGTTAAATCTGTTGTTAAATCTGTTTCCTGGTGGGTTTTGATGGTAAAAGTCATCTGGGCTGAAATACCAGCCCTGTGGAGAAGAACCAACCTGGTAACTGACTGCCCAATGTGTAGTGACTGCTCTGCTAAGGAAAATCAGAGGAGCAGCAAGGACTGGATAGAAGAGCAAAAGGAAGAATAACTTCCCCTCACATGGGCTGGGTCACACACATCGAGGTGTGGTGCAGAATGCAATTGTTTAGATGGCCAGAAATAATGACTTGGAGCTGCTATTCAGAGAGCCCCTCAGAAGAGCAGCAATTCTTGACTTGCTCTGGAGCAGTACTCAAGTAATTGGATTCAGATGTTGTTGTGGAATGGCCTGACTGTAGTTCTGATATTCTTGCAGGAATAATAAAAGACAAAGAAACCACTGATGTGTTTAATTTTGGAAAAGGGAATTTCATAAGAGGAGGACGCTCCTTAACTCACATGTGAGTTAAATATAAAAACCAGAATAAAGCAGACAAAAAGAATTTGAGAAACAGCTTACAAAATTATAAAACCAGCCATAAATCCTTTTTCTTCTTCTGATGTACCATGATGGGGCAGGGAGACATGGCTGCAGAATTTTTATGATGGGTAGGAATGGGGGATAAGAAAGTGAAATTTAACCATTTATCTGTGCACACCCATGTTCACTATGGAGGTGCTTAGAGAGTTTTTAATTGCAAATGGTGACATGATAAGCAAAGAAGAAACTTAGAGTGCAGTATCCTGTGAAACACTGTAAGAGCAGACTCTGAAATAAAATTTTTCTCAATGGGGAGAATCATTAGAAGACATCTCATTAACATGCCAAAAGAATCAATGGGAGAGAAAATTAGCAAGAGAAACTGTTTAAGTGACAAGATTTTATGATATACACCTGAGGTGTAAAATAAATTTGAATCTGAAATTGGTGAAGCCTTAACCCAGCTGCATAGCTTGTATATCTTTTTCCAGAAAAGGGCAATGAAGCTGATGAAGGGTCTAGAGGGTAAGTCCTGTGAGGAGTGGCTGAGGGAGCTGGGGTTGCTTAGCCTGGAGAAAAGGAGCCTCAGTAATGACTTTATCACTGCCTACAACTACCTGAAAGAAGGTGGTAGCAAGGTGGGGTTTGGCTTGTTCTCCCAGGCAGCAAGTGACAGGATGAGAGAATAGAGCCTCAGGCTGGGCCGAGGGAGGTTTGGGTTGGACAGTAGGAGGAATTTCTTCACAGTAGGTGTGATTAGACATTGGGATGAACTGCCAGTGGAGGTGGTGGAACACTGTTCCTGAAGGTGTTTAAGGAAACACTGGATGACACTTAGTGCCATGGCTTAATTGACATTGTGGGTTTTGGTCAAAGGTTGGACTCGATCTCAGAGGTCTTTTCCAACTGAATTGATTGTGATATCACTGCATATCACTGTATCATATCATATAACTATACCTTTCCAGTGAAATGGAATGTCCCAGTCTTTTACAATATCTGGGGGAGGTAGAGGCACAAAGCCAGATGTCTGTATTCTGTAAACTGAAACTGAGCTCATGAATTGCTGAAAAGTCAGTATGGCTTTGGCATGACTGTCTTTTTTTTCCCTTTAGAAGTTTTGTTCTTCTGATCTGCTGAGGTTCTCTGAGGACTTTTTGTAAGAGTGTGGGCATAGATGAGTTGGTTGATGTAGCTGGATTCCCAAAGGCTTTTATTAAGCCTGTTGTAAAAAATTCCTTGGGAACCAATGTGCTGTGAGACAAGGGAAGACCTCTCATGGGACAATAACTAATAGGAAATAAAGAGTAGGAATTAGTCTTTTGGCCATGTGGATAGAATTGCTTTTAACCAGCTGAATTTAACAGGGATCTTGTAAGGCACATGCTTTTCAGCATGTTTAAGTATCTGTTAAAAGAAAAGAAAACTGTCAGTAAAGAGTTGCAGAATGATCTCTCAATTTTGAAAGACTGGGCAGGGAAAATAGGACTTCAGATTTCATGTTGGTGGATGCTGAATAGCACAAACTGTTCTAACTTCATGTATGCCTTGATGGGTTTGTACATATGAATTTTTAACCAGTAGTTCCTACTTAGGAAAGTGGTCTTGGAATTACACTTGATTATTTTAAAAAAAGTCAGCTCCTAATTTTGCTGTCTTGAAAACTAATGAGCTGCTTAGGCAGGAAAGAAGGCACCGTTAATATGTACAACTAGATCTGAGCATACCTTGAACCTGGTGTACAGTCTGCTTTTGTGTTCTTGCCATCACCCAAATGTGGTGAAACTGAACTGTTGTAAGATGCATATTCTTTACAGGAATAATTGGAGTAGGACTTGTCAGTGTGGAAAGAAAATGAGTCAAAAACCCTCAAGTTTTGTAAAAATATATGTGATGGAGAGAGTGTTGTTGGAAAAACATGGATATTTATGTATTTAATACAAAAACTAGAAGGCATATGGTATTTATGTGTAATTTGTGTAATTTTCAAAATTGACCAGACAAATCAATGAAGGAAAACATCCAAGGACAATATAATTTAAAAAAATACCAAAAAAAAACCCCAAACCAGAAACAGCTAAGCGCAATAAAATGATGGCAACTGTGGTTCACAGACCCCTTGAGCTAAAGGGTCTTGGAGTCTTAGGAGAGTAGTATCAAAGGAGCAGAGATGGTTGCCCTGTTCTCTGATTGGCATCTGACATTAGGTGGTGTCAGTGCAAATAAATTTTGGCCTGACCTACTGTAGCCTTTCTAATGTAATGCAAGGAAAAAATGCTACAAACTCCTGGTTTTAAAATTTGTGCTCACAAGGCGTTGTGGTATTTAAAAGAAATCTGTTGTACATCAGCCTGTACTTGGAGAAGTCAAAACAAATGCAGTGCAAGGTGTCCAGCTGGGGTTTGAGGAGTGTCACAGGAGCCATCAGTGGCAGGAATCTGGAATTCCTGCTGTTCGTACTGGCAGCCTGTACCAGTTTTAATTATGTTGAGTATATGTGTATGCTGAGTTTTTCATTCCAGAGGGTGCCTGTTGATTGATTTGTACAATGAAATACCTCAGTGTTTCCCTGTGGAAAACAAGAATTCGCTGTCAGGCGCAGTTAGTGGTGTTTCTGGGGTCTGGCAAAAGTAGTTTTAGGCTTGTCTCACAAAAGGACTGTGCTTCCTGATTTCCAGTTAAAGTTGGAATTTTTTGTTTGTTTTTATTTTTAAATATTTGAGACACCTCACTTTTTCTTTCTGTTTCCTTTGTTTGTTAAGGCAACTGGGCATCCCTGTTGTCTCTAGTTGGTAATGGAATATCATATTGTTTGTCTCTAAATAAGATTCTGTCTTCATCTGGACTGTCAAAATAAATGGCTCTTACGGAGAAGTGACAACTTAAGTAAGTCACCTTCAAGTGACTGAAGTATCACTTGCATTTCAGTAATTACTGTAAACTAAGAAACCTGCATCACCTTTAGTATTTTAGAAATTGTCATGAAGTTTACACTTGTGAGTTCTTCACGTGTTCCTTATGGAAGTGTGGTGTGTGAAGAGGTCATACAGAGTGATGGGCACGTGACATGAACGTGGAGAGCTTGTGTAGTGTTGAGTGCTGCACGGCAACACCAGGAGGGGGACATGACAAAAGTGGCTGCAGATAGAAGTGCTGTATTTCTTTCCCTTACCATTTGTAAAGTTTTCATACCTTGCATATTTCTCTGTTTATGTAAGTGTAGATTTTCCACATGTTCTTGAAAGATGTCTTTTTTTCCCCATTTCCAGGAAAATGTGTCATGGCAGAGTTCAAAAACTTAAGGAAATTAACTCTTACTAAGTTCTCTGCATCTTTTCTGGGGAGAACAAAATTTCAGTTATTCTCTGGGATAATAAAGAAGATTTTTTTCCCCCAAAAGACTATATTAACTTTTTCTAATCAGTAACATTGTCTCCTTTTCTTTATTTTACCAGTTGTTGGACAGCCTGCGAAGAATAAGCGTCCCAAAGAACCTGGAGAAAACAAAATTAAGCCTGTTAACAAGAAAGTAAAACCCAAGAATCCCAAAATGAAGGAGAGAGAGTCTGTGGATTCCTCTTTGAAGTCCCAGTCCATACTGACACAGGTGATGGATAAAGGTCATTTCCAGAAACTAGCTGCCACCTTAAGCCTGGCTGCAGGACAAAGCATAGAGCTGCGATGTAAGGGGAGTAATGTTACTTGGAACTATCCTTCTTATTTAGACACCTTTAAAGACTCCAGACTCAGGTAAACTATTTTTTATTTTTTTGCAGGAAAAATCCAGAACTTTTTTCCCTTACTGTGTTCAGCACCACTGTTGGTTTTTGTTTGTTTGTTTATTTACATTTTTACAGTCACAATGCTCTATTTAATAGTTTTTAGTGTCCACAAAAAGGCTGGGCAACTTTTAGTCATCACCAGTTACTGCCTTGTGATGTGCAGTGTATACTGCACTATACTACTGTAGGATAGTCCTATAGCATGTGAACTCTGTTTCCTTCAGATGAATCTGAAATGGAGATGATGTTCACCATTGTGCTCCAGCCACAAACAGGGAACCACATTAGGACTGGTCCAAAGTAAAACTCCCAAAATGTGTGTGTGGATGTCAGGTGCTCGCTACCAACTCTGTTGCTCTGCAGAGACCTGCTCGTGTTGGACTGTAGTGGTTGCTAATGTGGCTACCACATGAGGTAGTAAGGTTAATTTCCTGAAGAGACTCAAACCCACATCTCTTAACTAGCAAAAAATACACCAGCCTTCATGCTAAGGAGCAAGTGAGAGTAGTCATTCAGAGTTGCTTTTGCATGCAAAATGAAATTGCAGGGCTTGTGTTGCATCAGAGTTTAATGCTGAGGGTTGTTACGTGAAGTTGAGGAAAGCTTTTTCTTTCATCTTTTGACGTCTTAATGAAAACCACAGAAAGATTTGTTAGCAGGAAGAGGAACTGACTGCTCCACCATCTGAGTGTTCTGTTGCTCTGAACATCTTTTCTGAGACTCTCCATACATTGTGCTCCTGGTTTTTCAGGATAGTACATGTAGCTAAATATAGATTAAATGTAGTAATTTAGTTCTGTATTAGAAAGAGGAGGGGCATATAAGGAGCTTAAGGATGTCTTCCACAGGCATTGTATTGCTCTGAGAAGTGTTTGTTTTCACCAGCTGTTTTATGGAGACCATGAAGCACTGTGAGTGATACCCAAAGAAAGAGTTTTTAGGAGCTTTTCTTGGATTATTAGGTGAGAGGGGCACAGAGGTATGAGTCAAGATGTCAGCTGCTCTTGTCTTGTTCCTAAATGAAGTACAAGTGTGTATTGTCTAAATAACTCAGATTATCTGAATCCCAGTGTTCATTATTACTTCATTATTTACAGGTGCAATGTTACCTTAAAATCACTCCCAGTTAATTAGTTTTTCAGATATATTCTTTTTTCCACTTCTGTTTCTGAAGGGGATTGTTGATGAATGGAGGTTACCCACTGGGATCTCTAGCACATCCTCCTGTAATTCCTGAGCCAGTTCTCTGTGCCATTATTGGCTTGTCCTGTGTTGGCTGAGGCGCCCAAGAACTACCCTGGCTGAGTGCAAGGCTTCTGCCACAGTAAGTTACAGCAGCAAGCTGGATCCTGCTGTGGGCTTATCACAGCAATATCTGTCAAAAGATCTAGTGGCCTCTTTAACCTGTTACTGGTTATTCTTTTGCAAGGAATACCATTCTTTCCAGATTTCTTTCAGCAGGTGGCGTTTATTAGCTGCAGTACAGACCTGGCCTCCCAGCAAGCCAGAGCTGGATGAGCAAGCCAGCAGGGAGCGTGCGTGTATGTGGTGGTGGTGATTGTTCTCAAGTCTGTCTTAATGTTTTGTGCATTTGCAAATAGGTTGCTGGTGTGGTTTGGTCCTGTAGACCTCCAGGCCATGCTGAGTGTCAGAATCTGGCATTGAAGAAGGCCAGGCAGTATTAAGGGTTTTTGGAGAGGAATCTGAATGCTTCTTATTGCTGTCTATTGGTTACTTGGCTGTCTATTCCTCTCATGCAAAATTAAGTGTTCTCTATTGATGCATGTGGGACAAAATACAAGAAATTGAGATGGTTTGGGAAAACAGAAATAAGTGTCACGATAGTGTAATTTTCTGTTTTCCAGTTTGAAGTAGTTTGGGATCCTGTTACTTCAGCCATTTACATTTCTGTACTCATTCAAGTTAACAGTGGTAATTTAATCATATAACAGAAGTTACTTATGCCACATAAAATAAGTGCTATAAAACATTTTGACTGGGTGGATGCAACTTGCCTAAGTATTTATTTTCTTTTAGAAGTATGTAAGGCATATACTTAAGGATCTGTATTGAAATATAATGGTCATTGCTTTTGAAATAAGTTATTAAACAGTAAGGCTGTTTGACTAAATCATCAGTTTTGAATGCAAGCAGAAGATCCTAAAATTAACTAGAGAAATTGAAAACATAGATTAGAAGCAGATTTAAGAGTCACAGAATAGTAATAATTTATGGAGACATTGACCACAGAATCCTGTGCAGTTACAGTTTCATCACATTTTTAGCATGGCTTTGGTAATTATCTCAAGGTCTTTGCTGTAGTGCTAATAGGTGCCTGTGAAACAAAATCTGCTCTATAGAATGTGAAATTTGAAATTTGTGTTCTGTGGTTTCAGAAATATTTGATGGATTTTAACTGGAAGTACCATAAAGGTAGCATGTTACTTAGCTCAGGTGGTGTTTGTAAGTGAGGTGGTACTAGAAAAGGTCAGCAAAGCTATGACCTTTCAAGAGGAGCTTAGATCTTCCTCATGGAATATGCACACCATGCACCAAGCATCAACTGCAATAGGTAATTTAAAAAAAATTATTAATACATTACCTTCATTATTTTAAAACAAAATGATTAATATAGGGCAGAGGGGGAAAATTCAGAAAACTTATTAGCAAATAATACCCTACAGCAGAAATTGTTCAGTCATCTAGGTAGATATATGTCCAGTATCTTCTAACATTTTTTGAGTACTTAAAGACCAAGAATAAGATAATCCCCTCATTACCAGTTAGTGAGGTTTGGGGCAAAACCCACGCTAATTAACTGGCTTTTTTACCTTGGATTTCCATATCCATGTGGGTCTTGCTGGACTTAGGGCACTGGTGCAAACCAGAGTTGATGGCAGCAGCAGGAGGACGTGATGGGGCCAAAATGAGGTAATAGAAAGTGAAGGAATGGGTTGGTGTGCCAGAGGAAAAGTGAAAAGGAGGAGAGACAATGGTGATGAGATCCCTGCAGTTGCTGGGGACTAATGGCTACAATTCTTCTGTTCATAGCAACAGATGCTCAGGCATCTAATTTTTACTTTTCCCTTAAATAATAGAAGGTATGTGCAAATTGAACTACTCTGGTATTTTGGCTTGCAACTAGTTAAATTTAGCATCAATGTATTTTCTCTAGGTGGTTGCAAAAAGAAGTAGGGATAAAACCCAGATGTTTTGCCTCCATGCTATGCTTACCACATTTTTAACTCACCCATATGGTAAGGAGAATACAGCAATCTGGGGGGACAATATGCCTTTTCTAAAGAGGAAAATTTTCATTAGAAAAGCCATTTCTGTAGTATTAGTGGTTGTGCTTTCATTGAATTTGTCCTTGTAGGCGTACTCTACAACCTGGTAAATAAAATATGTTACTTGCTGTACTAGAGAGTCTCGGTTTTTAATGTGTCTGCAGCTGTTACATGTGCTATAATTATCATATCTGAGGGAGTGAGAGATGCTGAGTGAAAGGAAGAGGAGGAGAAGGACTCTTTGGCTGCTTCTTGCTGAGGTGGAGCAGAAATTCTGCCTTTCCACTGCTCTAACTGGAGTACACAACAGTACACACTGAAACAATTTACTTAGCTTTAGAGACTGTAGTGTGCCATGCAACTCTGAGAGAAAGCTTGAATCATGCAAACATGGTTCCTAGCTTAAGGACACACACAAGCTTGCTTCAGAACTAGCCTGTTATCTCCTGTAATGCTCCCTTGGTTTGTGCAGCACTTGCATACTTTTTGTCTGAAAATTTTGTGTGTTGGCTGAACTGGCCAAAAACATTGGTGGTGTTAACAGTCGGAGGCTGGTCTTGCACACCCAGTACAGAAGGGCTGGAATGCTGTTTTGTAAGACTGTGCATAACAAATTAATGACAGGAGGCTCACCCAGAAACTGGATCTACAACATAAGAGAGGGATAAAAATAAGGGCAGGCAGATTTTCCCTTTACTAAAGCTTTATAGCAGAAAGCTGCTCTGACTTCACACAGTCTCTGTGCTGCCTGGTCAGAGCTTGGGTCTCCCCTGCTGAAGACCAGCTGCATTTGACTGTCTGATAAGTAAACTGACACAAAATGGAGCTGCTCAGATGAAAGAAGCTGGGGCAAACAGCTGGACATACATCACATGTACATTCGTGTGAGAAGAAGGTGTCTGGACAGGAGCACTCCCACAAATTGAGGAAACTGCGTGTGGTGGAGGCCAGAATTAGACTGAAATTAGACTGCTTTCACTGAGTGCAGTGAATGCATCCCACAGGCTTAGTGGGATGTCAGTTGTGCTCATGTGTATAACTGAATTTGAGTTTGCTGCTTGTGCTTTGAAGTTTAAAAGCTAAGGATTTTTGTCTTGTGTAAAACAGCAAGATGTTATGTTCCTGTCCTAGTGAGTGTGTATTTGAGATAAGCTCTCTTTTGTCAGTATGAATGCAGCTACTTGAGAGGAATTTGGTAGATGCTCTTTGAGTGATGCTATGTATACTGTCTTTATATATATTTTTATATAAATATATATTTTAGCTTCTAAATGTGGCATAGTTTTCTGGCAAAAAAATCTAAACTTTATATAAAGTTTAATAAGATGAACGTATGGAATAAGATTTTGGGCTATGTTTCTAGTATCTTTAAACAGTCTGGTAATGTTTGTATATACAACATTTTTATTTTGCGACATCTGCAATACCGGAAAGTTTTGGCTTCTGGGTCAGATTTCCCAGCATCTAAAATACTAATTAAATACTAATGAAATGATAAGTTGCCCTGAAAATATTGGTTAGCTGCAGGATTTGCCATTAATACTTTATTTTATATGGCCTGTTTTGTCTGCTTAATATGGTCATGTCTCAAGTTTCAACATTACACTCTCAGATACCAGGTTTTGTTATTGCATGTTTGTGGATGACTACCTTGCTAGGTTATTACTGAATAACTTGTTCACAGTTAAGAAGAACACACTGTACAATAATTAATTAACTCTGACCTTATTTTGCTATCTGTTGGGATTTCAAGCTATAGCTCAGTGTCTGCATTAATGATTGGAAGCAAAAGAGTTCTGGCATAATGGGTTCTCTGTATTGTAGACATTTAGTACTTGATCCTTGGAAAACATTTTATTCTGAGGTTGTCATATAGCCTGTGAAATGTGAACTGTGGAACTAAATGGTAATAATACAGACTAGGACATGTTTTGGGTTTATCTTTTCTTCATTTTGGGTGTGATACACAGCATGTTCTCTTGCACAGATAGGAATCTCTCAAAAGTTATCCAAAAACTGACGATAGTTTATAATATAAGGTAGTGTATATATTAAAAATGGGAAGACTACTGCACCATAATTACATGATTCTAAAAAATGGAATCAGACAAGGTTGTGTAGGACAAGTGCATTAGTGGATAGGAATTGTCATTTGCCTGTTTATTGAGGCAGGCCTCAACACTGCCCTGTGGTGGATCCATGTGTGTCTATGTTGGCGTGGATCTAATGGTGTCTGAGGGCTTAGTGGAAAAGGCAGTTCCCAGTTATCTGTTTGAGGTGTGTATTTGGCGTGCTTTTAGTCTCTAAGCTGCTGGCCAGGCTGAAGGCTGAGTACGGGGTCATGTGAACTTCTGCTTGTGATTGCTGCTAATTGTGCAGACTGCTAGCAGAGCACCTGGGGAGCCAGAACTTCTGGGAAGCACATGCAGCTGAAGTGGTGCCCTCTGTTTTTAAGCAGTTATTCTGCCTGCAATGGACAGTTAAGCAAAACTCTTAAAAAAGGATAAAAATTTCTTCAAAGAAGCTAATCGCAGAAAGAAATTCTTCAGTCGGGTATCTGCCTAACTGCCACATTATTAAGAATTAGGAGGGTAATAAATATTCAAAAAATCCACAGTTAAATGAGTATGAGAGCTGTTCAGATTTCATGCAAGCTGTGTATTTGTCTAAATCCCTTTTAAAACAGTAAAAAGAAGTTCATTATCAAATACTTAACTTGGAAAAAATAACTCCTGACTTGGTTAGAAAGAAATTACCTTGTAACTCAATGTCTTGCAAAGGAAAGAGGGAACCCTTTGTGACCTAGATCCACTACCATGAGAAGCAGCTGGTTGAAAAGAACATTTTTAAGGGTTGGAGCAGCAGCAGAGTGCATCAGTGCTGTCACGTGGCTGTGCTGACAGGATTCCCTGAGAACTGGTACTTTTGGGCCATTGCTTTTGCAGTCCATCAAAAGTCAACCCAGTAGACTGTCATCCACACTGCCAGCTGTCTGCCAGAAAGAGCCAGGAAGGTAAACCTTAAAATATATGAAAAAAGAACAAGATGAGACTCTAGCTACTGTATTTCATAAGGACCTTTCCTCTTAGAATAATTGTCAGTATCTATGTATATGTCTACATATTTATAGATATTTGCACATTTACAAATGTCAATCTACTGAGAGATGTGCCTGGGAAATTCAGGAGAAGGAAAAAAAAAAAGCAAATCAAGTCTGAAATAATCACACAGGCTGAATTTTGTGTAGTTACATGATGGCACTGCCAGTACACCTCCAGCAGTTCTCAGGGTCATGCTCTAAAATAGCCAAGGGATATGGAGGAAACTCCAGTGAGGTGACTTAGACCACAGGAGTAGGTGAGGCAAAATGACTTAATTTTCAGGACAAATCCAAGCTGAGGTAGCAGCTCTTTGCAAGTGGAAACTTGGACTGGTATGTTAAAAATTGGTAAAGCATTCACACTGAAAGCAGGCAGAAATTATTAAATAAACTCTCAGTAGAATACCTGCTACTAACTACTTGTCAGTTATCTTTGTTAGATTTTATTGAAACAGCGTTACAGTGTTGAAAAGGGACTGAGGTGCATGTGGGTTGACATGTAGAATGAAAGAAAGGGCTGTGCATGGACAAACTAGGACAAAACACAGATGAACATATGGCCTAGAGCAGTCACAGCCCAGTTTCAAAATGGAGACTTGAAGGAATGCAAAAATGAACTGTACAAGACTTTTGTCTTGCAAGCTCTTGTATGTAGTTAAAATCAATAAAACTGCTCATGTAAACAGTCTGCTAGAGCAAAAGAGGAAGTTGCAACAGAGCTCTGAAAGTGAAAAGTGATCAGTTGCAGAGAAGGAATAAAAAAATCAAAAGTGGAAATGAGCTGACAGAAATATACAAGGAAATTCATCTGTGCTTGTCTTTGCCTTTCGTTTTTGTTTTTCCACAGCATAAAGCAGCTTGACAGGTACAGTCAGCTGATCCTTGCAAACTCCACAGCTGCAGATACAGGTGAATACAGCTGCTGGCTTCAGCTGTGCAATGGTAACAAATGCAGGAAGGATGAGACTAAAACAGGATCAACATACATCTTTTTCACAGGTAATTAACTCACTGGGGGATTATTAATGGAAATATATTTGCTGGTAAGACAGGAATAAAGCTACATCAGTGATTTCATTGTCAAGATTACTGCCACAGTTTTCATCTATTTTTAGTGGATGTTTATGAAGACTGCTGGTGGGCAGAAAATTACTTGCTTAGTGTGATTTTTTTGAGTCCATTTTCCCTCAGATTATGCAAAATACCCAAAGTAATGGAAAATGCAATGAAAATCACATACCTTATAACACACTTTCTGAGGATTTTCTACAAAACTAATAAAAATGTTTCAATTTTTGAAAATGTGTCTAAATAAAGAAAATAAATTTGTGCAGAAGATTCATTTTGTCATGGCATTCAGATGACCCCATGGACTCTTCCCCCACTGCCAATTAATTCCAGTTACTTGCACTGCCTTAAAAATATCAATAAGGCCACAGTTTCTCTGAGGAGTCATTATAGCATGTTGAGAGGCAAAACACTCTTCAAGTGCATGTGATGTCCCCTAGAGCCTGTGCACAGTTTGTTGCTGCTTGGTACAACAGAGCTGAAATCAAGTGGTTTGGTTTTTATTCTGGAAACCGTTCTGAATAACAAAATAACCTTTGATGCCTCATAGAGCTAAAGTATTCATGGCTAGAAAATGTTTTAGTACAAAATGTTAAGATAGGATGGTTTGCAATACATTTTGAAGGCAAATTGGACCATGAGAAAGAAGAGCTTAATGTTTTTAGGATACATTCCTTAGAAAGGCTGGAATAAACTTTTCAGTCAAATTATTATGTAAATGCTTGTGCTAGAAAGAGGAATTTCAGATTTAGGTTTCCAAGAAGCATGCTAATTATAAAAATACTCCTTAACTGTGATTCTGAGGGCACTAAATATTTCTTCTAGTTAGGACAGTAAATCAAACATTTTGGCTAAAAGCATAGGTATAAAAATCTGTTGCTTCAAAAAATATATTTTTCTAGTAGTCCTTATCTTACCAGTGGTGATGGGATCCAGATAAGTATTTGGAAACTTACTAAAGGACATTCCAAAGATTTTCTTAAGATTAAAAAAATACTTCATTTTTATTTTCAATTTAATGTTTTTTTAATGCAAGCAATGTTGTTTTTTCTTTTGTGTGTATGCATATTAAAATTAAGCCAAAGCTTTTTGTTTTAAATGTTGCTCACAGCTATTTTCTCTTGTCAAATGTACTTCTCTTTCTGTTAAACCAAGATGTAATTCTTTCTGTAATTATGTCAACTCTTCTGCACAGACAAAGAGGAGCTTTTTGTACCTACTCCCAGTTATTTTGAGATTGTGTACCTGAACCCAGATAAACCTGCAGTCATCCCATGCCGTGTTACTACTCCTTCAGCAAAAGTGACTCTTCACAGGGAATTTCCAGCAGAAGAAATTGAAACAGATGGAACTTATATTTTTTATGATGCAAAGAAGGGTTTTGTCTTCCAGCACCCTACTTCTGATCATAAAGGTATTGTCTACTGCAAAGCAGAGTCACAGGGAGCACCTCAGATTTCCATCAAATATCACCTACTGTATGTGGAAGGTAAAGTGCAGTTTTCTCTGTGCTTAAATTGACTCTTCTGCTGATGCTAGGAAAATAATTTTTAGAAGTGAAATATGTAGTGTAGTGAGAGTTTTAAAACCTTGATCAAAAGTACATGTGATAAAACATTTATCAGGTTTAAATTCCAGCAAATTTCCCAGTTTAGAGGGGAAAGTTGCAGGTGTAAAACACCTGTTGCATTAAGCAAACTGAGTCAAAAACTGACTCTCAATGTGATCAGTGTATTTAACTTCAGCAGCTAATTTTTTGTTTCTAAACACTGTCTCAGTTCCCAAGGGCCCACCCTCAACCACAATTGCGGTGTCATCCAGTAGAGCCGGACTTGGTGATAGAGTTCATGTCGTCTGCACAGTCCTTGGGGAGCCAGATGTGGATGTGAACTTCAGGTGGCAGTATCCAGGGCAAGAGGTAAGAGGTGAATGCCCTGCCTGAAATGGTTTGTTCTTCACAAAGGCAGCGTTTTGAACGCTCTTGCCAGTTCAGGCATGCTGGCAGGAGGAGGCAGCATATCCTCTTTCAACTTCAGCCTGTCTTTCCCTGAGAATCTCCCTGAGAAGTCACACAGGGATGAAGCTGGAGAGCCCTGTTAGTAAAAATCAAATTCAGCAAAGCTCACTCCTCCTTCACATTTCCATTCCAGAGATGCTTGGCCTCTGGCAGCATTTCCAAAGACAGCCTCAGACAGGGTCAAAGCCAACCAGCATCAGGAAGCTGTTCTAAGGGAAGCCACAAGGCCCACTGATGCCTGGATATCTGCATTTGATATCCCTTTTTTCTCCATGGCTTGGGTGCATGAATTATTCCAGCAGAGAATTTTTGTTGCCCATATTCTGAAGCAGAATCTGCTTCTGCCCAGCCTCATCTGAAAGAATCCACAGGAAACACAATGTCAATCTGTGGTATCTTTTCTTGCACAAAATAAGATGTATCTGACTAGCATCACTGAAGGTCCCTTCTCTTTTCCCTGTAACCACCCTCACCTGTTACGGCAGGAGCTCATTTCTTAATCATTCTAGACCCAGCTTGGCCTTCCAAAACTCTGTCTCATTAGTATCCACTCTAGTTTTGCATCTTTCCCAGGCTGCCCCCAGCCTGGTTTGCTGGCAGTTACTGGCCCAGCTGTTCCTAGTGGTTTTACTGCACCTGATGCATGTTGGCATGTGCATGTTTACACCTCTCTAGCACTGATTGGATATAAACAGCTGAAGCGTGCAGGTTATCTCCCTTGTTTGCTATGGATACTAGAGCTGCAGTGCAGGGCACATGGGCTGTCAACAGAGGATTACACCCTCCCACTGCACCCACCTACGGGGGTGAGAGAGGCTTTGGCCTGTGGCCTGCCTCTGTGCTTATCCACTAGGGTAAACTATCTCAGCTCCAGCTGTGCCTGGGGATAGGGAGGAGAGAGCTGTGTTTGGGTTTCTGCCCCAACAAAAGGATCAAGTAAATGTCAGAGTAGAAGCACTGCATGCTTGTTGGAAACTTAACATTTATTGAGAGCGTTCATATACAAAAGGTGGGGTGGAAGGAGAAGAGACAAGACCATCAGTGATGCTGGTCATATAGACCTTTTATGCAAAAAAAAGGGCTGATATTGTTCTAAGATTCACTGGGTGTTTCCATTCATGCTGCTGCTTTCAGTGCTGGGAGCTCAGGAATGGTTTTGTCCCAGCCCACAGCACTCAGCAGCTGGGCTCTCACCTACTGCCTAATTCCTGAGCAGAAGCAGCACATCAATCTCTGCTTGTCCCTAGGTACGGTGCATTGTGGAGACCCTCCTTTTATCTCTGTAGTCACTAACCTCTCTTTCTTTTTTTCCACTCAGTTGTGGTTTTCTTCCTTGTTTCCCCTTGCCACTCCCTGACAATTGCATTTGCTCACTCACCTGCTGTGAATGCATACAGATCCACCCTTAATCTGATTCCATGCAACAGGCTGCAAAGCAGGCAGTTAGTTTGAGGAAAAATGGACTAGCAAGAGCCTAACCAGGCAAAGAGAGTCCACTTTGCACAGCCTTTACCTTCACGTTCAGTAGGGTCAAGGATGTTCCACTTGCTATATTTAAGAAGTAACTTAGACTTGAATTAAGTGTGCAGTATTACTTGGTTGTAGGTAGCGCTTAATTTTCAGGCTTGGAACAGGAGGTAGTGCTTTGCCAAGTGGCTTCATTGATTTTAAATATTTAAGAATTTCTATTACATTTACAACTGCCAAAAATTTTTATGGGTTTTTTTCCTATAGCTGGTACTGCCTGCCACTTCTTAGGCATTCCCTGACTGCACTGTGACTCATCCCTAAGTTTCAGGAAAACTGAGAGCTGCCTTTGTACTGGTCATTTTGCAAGTGTGAGATTGTAGCTTTGACTCTGCATAAGTGTCTAACTTATCCTATTGCTACATCTAGCTTAAGCCTTGTAGCATTCATATTGGTAAGTGGTTAATCCATCTATGTCATGAGGCAAGGGAAGATGGTTTCCACACAGAAACCTCTCTCTTGCATTTTTATCCCAGCTACTGGTATAGCAGAAGCCAGTGTGCTGACTAGCAGCTGCTGGATTTTGGAAGAAAAGAGACTGCCGTAGTCTATCATTGGGCCAATTTCTCTTATACAGTATTTTGTGACCTCCTGAGGTGCCAGGTAGTGTGAACTCATAACCAGTCCATTAGAGAACTCCCTTATAGAATTTTTTTTAAAAAGTGCCTTTTACTTAATAACAAAAAAACCCCAAACCAAAACAAAACCAAAAAAACCCAAACAAAAAAACCAAAACAACAACAACAAAAAACCCACGAAAAAGCAGTTTTTGATGTAAACATTGGGGGTTTGTATTTTTGGCATTGAAGTTACATACACATTTTGGAAAGCAGAATGTGACAGTTAACTCAGAAGTAGTTGAGAATTGTTACTGTTTGTTTCTACGTTATCTGATGTAGTGTTTTCTAAAACTATAGGAGGAATTAGTTTTCAGCATGTGACATACAGCTATTCACTGTGCTAAAAGAGAATGAAAGCTCAGTCAGCTACCTCATGCCACTGCTGCCTTCCTTTTGTGACATGCTTGAAGTCTGAAAATGAGCTCACGCATCTATCTTGACACCTCCCCCAGGACACCTCACCTATTTGATTAGGTACCCAAATGCAGCTTTAGTAAGTGGCCTAAAAGTGAGCTCATGCACAGGCTCCAGCAGAGCTTTGCCAATTCCAGTACCTGTGCTTGGAGTGGAAGAGCCATTGTATTATCCTTATTTGGCATAGCTTATTGGTACATCAATATTTAATGCAGGAATGTTGCTGCCACTGCCAGACACCTTCAGTTCCCTCACTTAGGGCTGACTTTTGGATATAGGCTCGTACTCTCCAGCCTCTTGCTTCAATGTGATGGGGTGGTGTCACTAAATACACTTTGTGGAATCACCTATTTTATGTGGGTGGGTTGTTTCTGTTTTGTTCTGTTAACAGTCCGGGAGGCCTGTGATTATTCAAAACTTCTGGAGATTGATAAACAGAGGAATTGGCCATACTACAAGACTCTCAAAGAGTGTTCTTCTTGTGGAGGATTTTGAAGACACAGATGTGGGAAACTATATTTGTATAACTCAGAACCTACAAGGAGAAACAACCGTAGCTACAAAAGTTGAACTGAAGTGATAGAAAAGACTTCTGGTTATGGACTGACCTGTACGTTGTTTGACATTATAGCCATTAGTTTTCTTTATTAATATTTAAATGTAGCTTCTCTCTCACTGTTTCTTTTATATGTCAATGCATTTCGTGTTGATGAGCTTGACAGGCCACAACAGAGTGTCCTGTCAAGCAGTAGTGAGTTAATGAAACTACGATGAAGCATTAAAGTGTAAGTCTGAACATGCCTAGGGTGTGTGCATATTTAGAAACAGGTGCTCTTTGGGCTTTCCTTTGCATATAGTCTTTCCCTCAGACTCTTGCATGAGGTCAAGTCCACGCTGTGTGGAGCGTGCAATTTTAACAGTAAGAGTACTGTACATGTTTAAAACAACAACAACAAAAAAGCAAACTAAAAAAGCCTTGTAACAAAGTTAGCCAATAGCAGTTGTTTATTTTGCAAGAATAATTAAATTTCTGAACATCATGAAAACATAAACGTGTGTGTGCTCGTTTTCATACGTATGTAAAGACAAACACAAAATTTTCTCTCCTGGTGAAGATTAATACCCTCTAGGACCTTAATATATATTTAGTATCTCCAGAGACTTGTAAGTAGTTGGGTATACTCGATTTTCCTTATGTTGTTGCATTCCTACACCCTTACAATATGTAGCTTACTTAATAGTTCACTCGTTAGATGTCTGGTGTTATGTTTAGTAAATTACGTAGCAAATTATGATTGCTAAAGGTAAAACTTGCATTTATTTATATATTTGCATTTACAGAACAGAAAAAAAAAAGGCAAAAAAGCAAACATTAGAATAATGTTCAGTTTTACAGCAGAGTTTCTTCTTAGGTTAGTAACAAGTTCAACTTCATTATATTAATTTACTTAGAAGAAAAGGAAAGATATTTTCATTTACACAGAACTATACCTGGATAAATAAGCCACTGCTTCTCTCACCCTGGGTTCAGTACAAAGAAAGAACTTGCCAGAGGAGAAGGTAAGAACTTGATAACAACATTATTGGACATTTTGGCAATGTTTGGGGTTTTTTTCTTAGTCTCAAGCACCAACTTTATGTGGGCTAGAACTTTAAATACAATCTACTCCTTAGTAGTGAAATGACAAAAACCATTTAATGCAAGCCATGTTACTTACAAGGCAAGTGAAAACCAGCTTTTTCTGAACACACAAGAAAGCAAAGCAGGAACTGGTCCCTTGGTCACACACTTCCCTCTGTTTCAGCCTGCGTTTGACTGGAATTCCTAAAACTTTCTTCTGCTGAAGGCCCGAGGTAGCCCTGTGCTCCAGCTGATTCAGACCTTTGAGCAGATGTACAGCACTGTTTGGAATAGTGACAGCTCTAAGTGCTAATGTAAAAATGGCAGCTTCCCACTAAAGTCAGTGATCTGATTAGTAGTGTAGCTAATGAAAACATTAAACAAGCTTGCTGAATGCTTTTTCTTCAGCATGCAGGAACCTAAACCAATTTAACTGATAAGAGAAATACCCATGGTAAAGACTGAAATGGTTCCATGCAGGTCTCATGTGATAGGCTACATGGAGAACATTCCCCAGGAACTTTTTTCATCTCTGGTCTCTGAAAATAAGGTATCTAAAAAAAATTAAAACAATATGCAGTAGAGCTAACTTTGAAGGTGTAAGAGGCAAGGTTAATCTGTTAAAATGTATCAAGAACATTACGCTGTAATCCAAAGACTAAGTAGGTTATACAATTTCATAGTAATACCTAAAAAAGATCTTTGGGCCATTTTTTTAGGAAAAAAATGTCCTTGTATTGCGTGGGTGCTTTTATTCTGACCAAATTAACTTTAACAGTCATTGAGCTTCTAGGTGAGGCTGTGCAATGTGATAATTTCCTTTTCAGCATTTTCATTCCTCAGACCAATGTATTTTCCTTTGAACTAAAGGAGTTGTGCCAGCTTTTTGAATTTCAAAGTGCATTTGAGCCTGTAATTCAACAATTGATTTTCTTCTCAAAGTATCTGGGAAGTGGGAGATCATGTCACCTGCCCACCTTTGTTCAGCAGCTCAGTGGAGGCATCACTTCTTGATGACAGTTTGGCAGGAGAGGAAAGATGGTGTAAATCCATTGCTTGAGTATTCCCCTGGGGTGTAATGGTTATGCCTAACCATCACATGCAGGCCTCAAGACTGACACAGAAGCAGTGCCTCTAAGGAAGAGTTTTGGTGGGTGTCACATCCTGTCCCTCCTTTCTGTCCTTGTCCTCCCACCAAGCATGAAAATAATTATTGTAATTGAAAAACTATGAGAATTCTTTTACTGTGTATTTTACACAGTTTTTATTTTACCAAAAGCCTCTTGGGCAGAGCTGATGTTACATTGATGCAGTTAATTGCACATTTCCACCTAAATGAACAGTGACAGGGGAAGAAAATGAAGCCTGGGAAATAAAATTTAAGTGACTTGTCAAAGTTACATGCCTAAAGCTGCCAGTGCTGTTATTTCTATTTCTATACCTGTGTCACTGCTCTTCTAAGGAAAGGCAGCAGCAGTGGTCAGAAGGTATTTTTTTCTTCAGGGTTCAGTGGTTATCCCAACTTTATGATGACCTTTTTAGCTGCAGCTCAGCCCTAAATGATTTCCTGGCTGTCAGACAAGATCAGTGGTTGGTTACTGTATAGAAGGAATTTCATGACACCAGTTTACATGGAAGTGTCTTTGGAGTTAGTAATGAGAAACATCAAGTCTTTAGTTAGCTCAAGGAAATGATTCACCTCAACTTTTATAAAAAATACAGTGCAACTTACACAATGACCTTTAGAGAAAAGCATTGAAGGTGAACCATACTATGCATAGTTTGAATGGCAAAAAACTATCTGGTACAGCTGTTAAATGTCACCATAGCTTCCTCTGAAACCTATCATTAGGGATGGAACAGAGAGTAAAGTTGGATATCTGAAGAAAATAATTTGTTCAATTGCTTGACCTTTGGCTTATGATGATGAGCAGATTTCTAGCTTTTCCTGAAGGAAACCTAATGCTAAAGAAAAAAGCCCAAAATATGCAGAAGTTACTGGATTGAACAAAGTCTTTACTAACACATGATACTTAAGTTAAAGCTTGAAATACTAATACTCAAACAGAGAAAAACATTGAAACAGTATTTACAGATTAGCAGAATTATTTAATTTGTTGAGACCAACAGGACAAACACTAAACAGTTATTTCTGTAATCTGATTTCTACATACAAGCAGTCTTCATTTCTTCAAAAAAGCATTAAAGAGTCTACTTGCAAGCAGTTTAGACATGAAGAGTCACCTGTACTGTGGAGGTAAATGATCAACAAATTAACAGTCTTTGCATTATCTACTATTCATACTTACTGTTCTGTACGGTAGCCTGGAAAAGCTTTCTCTGCTCTTGCTATAGGAAGGGCTGTGCCGTATTCAACCTTCAAACATTTGTGTGCACTCTGCTTGCATGTTTTATTTGAGGCATTACACTGCAAGTAAAGTAATAAAGTTCTTACCGGTGGTTAGGTAAGTGTCCTTGTGACAGGACCTGTTACACTGCTAACCTCTACCTGGGGCTTTTCTCACACGCAGAATGTTCTGGAGAATCACAAGAAAGCTCCATATATCTTCTGCCTACAAGTGGAGGAACAAGGGGAAATTTTCTAAGGAGTAGCTGAACACTAATAATCTGTGCCATGAAGCTTCACCACTGCTGTTTTGCTGTGCTGAGCAGATACCAAGAGGTTTTAGTAAATGGAAAAATGTTCCTCCTTAGATTAAAGACCCTTTGACTAACATAAGCAGAAGAAAAATCCTTCAGTCGGTACAAAATATTTATTGTAAAGCATTCAGCTCAAATACATGCAATCAAATCTCTTTGACCGTAGAAAGTCATATTCATAAAGGATATTCTGAGACATACTTAAACCCAAGTTGTAGCCAACATAGGATTTTCATAGTTAAATTTGAACCTCCTATTAAATATTTTAAGTACTGACACCACTAATAAGTGGCATGTACAGGGCCCTAAAAAGGATTAAAATAAAGCATAATGTTCCATAGAAATGGCACCCTTAACTTGTACATTATGAGAGGTTTAAGTAAATTTAATGATGAAACAGTCAATCGCAAGTTTAAATATATTACAAATTTACTTACTGTATGAGCACTGTTAACAGTGTTGTTTCTATGTCTGTGTTCCTCATTATTAGCCAAGATTTTGCAAGTCTTAGGTAAAATACTTTGAAGTGGTTCTCCAGCTGAGTTCCCTAAATGCTTTCCCATGCCCTTGATTCCTGTCCCCAAGCTACTGAAAAAGCCAGGGAGACTCAGCCAGCTCCCAGCATTAGCTAACCAGCAGTGTAACAATGTCGTGGCCCTACTGTGAAGCCCAAGCTACTGTAATTGTCAGTAGTATTTTCGAAGACTAATCTGAAGCTGAACCTGTTTTAGTGGGTACAGAGCAGTCACCTTAAACAGGTCTGATCAAGGGTGGAGCAAGGCTATCCAATTACCCTGTTGAAGCCGAAACTCAGCATGTGATATTTCCAGAAATGCTGACACCCTCATCCTCCAGTTCCAGCAGCCAGGACAATGTTTTCCTCTACTCTACAGAATCTCTTGAACAGGATTTTTCACCTGATGAACTGTCAAAACACCAATAATCCTGCAGTCTAAGAGGGAAAGTATGGTAGAATTAGCAAGATAAAATACACAGATACTACCTCAGCCTCAGGTGAATTTAGCCAGCCCTGAGGAAAGTTAATACAAATGCTAATGCTTAAAAAGGCAAGGTGTGTCACCAGTTATATTGGAATTCACAAGTTACTTAATCTTCTTGAGAACTGAATTAAGAATGCACCTAGTTACAATTATTGCATTTCTCTTTGGCTTTCAAATCTACATCTTGTTTATCCTCAGGAACAGACGTGCTATTTTGGGGAAATCAGTGCTTCCTTTTCAGCAGGTAAGATGCTAGGTCAAGGCTTCTAAACTTGCAGCTCAGCTAAGAACGTCTCACCTTGCGGGCTACTGTGGTTCTGACTACAACCCTATTGACTTGCAATCCAAAATCCATTGCACCCTGCAAAAAAAGTTCTCATAAATGGCAGAATTGTGCATGGATGTGAAACCAAGAACCCATGCAAAATATGGCTGCAATTCAATTTGTTTTTAAAATTAATTCAAAGTTGCATACTCAGGTTGGCCAAGACACTAAGGAGTCAGTTGACAGAGGTCTTCATGCCATTTTTTTTACCAGCCAGAATGATGAAGGAAATTGTACCAGTGTACCAGTAGTTTCTCCTCATTCCCAGGCAAGGGTACTCTGTTAAGCATGCATACTGAGAGCAGTATCAAGGAAGTACATGTCAATGTATAGTCTTCAGCTTTTATCCTTTATTACGTACACAGCAAAGAAGGCAGCATTAGACACACACACAGTGTGTTACACCCACTCCATCCACGGCACACGCACACGCACACACACAGCCTTAAAAAAGTGTCGGTGATAAGGAACATATTATAAAGGTTGTGATCTCTAAGCCCCTGAGCTTCTTCTTATGGTTAGGTGAAAAGGCAACAAACAAGTCTTTTCTTGCTCTATAAGTGCTTTGTGCAACGATGTCCATAGAGGTCATAAGTCTTTTTAGGAGGAGTGAATGTCTTACTCCCATATTCACAGTCTCCTATCGCTGTTTTTGCAACACATAGTTTCCAGTTATGTTTAGTTGTCATAGGCGGCTAATATAGCTCTTGCTCCTGCGATTCAGGTTAGGAAAGGTTCTGCACATCAGAAGTGAAATGCAGGCCTCTCTTTCTCTCAAGAGATGTCATCTCGGTGACACTGCAGGACTAGAGAAGTTACCAGAATTTCGTGGGGACTGAAGAGGCACAGATGAAGAACTGGGAGACAGTTTTCTTGGGCTGCATAGATCACCATTGTGCAACTTCCACAAAAGTTCCTCATTTTCCATTGACAGGCGCTTGTTTACTTTTGATTCTTTCTCTAGTGACTCCTGTAAAACAGCTTGCTCTGTAGAAAGTTGCCTGCAAATGGAAGATTTACATCAGAACACATAACCCAACTTGGAGGCTGCAGTATTAAAACTTAAAGCAAGGTCTGAAAGTGCATAAGCCTTTGCTTGGCTCACAACTGAACTCCAGCTTTAATAGGAGGACAGAGCATGTTCTCATCCTAGCTATATTTGAACTGGTAGCTTGCAGAAAGCAGGAGGAAGTCCCAGTAAGAAACATCCCTAAGGACCAGAAAAAGCATCTGAAAAGTGAGTCTTAAAACAACACATGTTTGTGTTTTAACGGCTGTGCTGGAGCCTTTGGGTCTTGTTGAAGGTTCAGCTCAACACAGAAGCTAAAGATTCCTTCACACTGGAAGAGTCTGGCCATCCATTTAAGCAACCGTTAGGAGGAGCTCAGACCTGTTTTAGTGATGTTAAATATTACTGTTACTACTAAATAAACCACACCAATCTAAACTGGGGACAAACCACTCACTGAAGTGGTTATAAGTATGACTTAAGTCTAGCTTACAAGCCAGTAGTACTTAAAGAGGACAATCTTTGTATGATGGTATTTCTGATATTGCTTTTTCTTCCCTAAAATACTGGAGTACTGAAGAACATACTAAACCTTTATCCCCTTTCAAAATGTTCCCGCTTGTTAACTGCACAAAGGAATGCACATTTGTAGGGATAAAAGTGGGGAAGAAATGGATGTGTTCTTTCACAGAGTACTAAAAAATTGCATTCACCAATACATAAGGAGAATTTTCTTTCTTCTCACAGGAACCCCTTCCCCCTGATTAAAGGCATCTAAATGTCCACAGATATTTTTCACCTTGAAAGCTCCATGTGTTTGTCCATCCGAGCTTTTAATTCTTCATTTTCTTGCTGAACCTTCTTTAATTTATCCATTAAGATTGTGTTGTTCTCCACCTTGGAAAAAAGGTCACAATTTGAAATAAAATCCATACATGCACTCATCAAGATTCTGACTGAGCTATCAGAGATGTTGGCAATCTGGAGTTTGCAGAGCTTGTTACAGTACACACAAAACCATCCTACTTACCTTATCCTTGCATAACACTGGTGCTTGCCCACTTGTGCTGATTAGATGCCAACAAAGAGGACTGGGTAAGGGATCTACTGTTAACCAGCACATTGCAGTAATTTCTGCCAGTGATGGGCACTTTTAGACACTGTAGCGCCTTTCTAGACAGAAGACTGTCTAGAAATAACACAACAAATTCAAGAGTTCCCCTGAACTCTTTTCCTATTGCTCTTCTGAGTCCACATCACTGCTGGAAGACGTTATCAAAAATAAAAGGAAAAACTGATTAAGTGGTTGCATGGTCCAAGGCCTTTTACACTGTGGCCAATGTCTGTTGGGAAAGATGAAGGTTTGCTAGCAATCTGCTAGTAATTGTCGACTAGGGTAACACATGGTGCTGCACAATACTGAACAACTGACATCAATGTGTTCCTTTGTATCCAAACCTCCTTCTATACTTCCTCATTAAAGGCTTGCATAAGCAAGTATTACAACAGTGTTCAAAGGCCCCACCCAGGAGAAGGACCCTGTCATGTCACAAATAAGAGCATGCTAATTGATTACAAGTCCTGCCTCTGAAACTGACTTTTCATGTGGAATTACACACAGGTCAGGAAGACAGTCACACAGCTAAACAAGCAGCTTAACAGCTAAAATGATGGGCCTAAGCTAATCAAGACTTACTCCATTTAATATTTGATCCCTTCTTGTTAAATTAGGATCATTTCCTTCTGAATGCTTTCCAGACACTGCAATCTATCTTCCATACCACTTAAGCAATGTAGCAGGTAAGGATTTTGTTCTTTAGGGGAAGAGGCTCCCAGATAATCTGTACTAACATACCAATAGTTTAT